GCAAATTGCTAAAATTAAGAGTGAGATCTGATTTTGTTTTAAAGAAATAGTGTTAAGATAACTGTGTATAATAGATCAAATATCAGTGTGTTAATATTTTTTTTTGTATATTTGTCAGTTAGATGCTCAGTATAGAGAAGAACACGTAGGTTCCTGACTCCAGGATAATTTTTCTAATGATACAAGATTTGTTTCCCAAAATTTTTTTACTGCTTTAGCAGTACTTCCCAGCATTTATTTTACAAAATGGTAATCTTGAGACTTTCCTCAAATTCAAATCCAGTTCTATGACTACTTTCAGCAAAACCCCATCCAAATAGGTGAAAATATGAAATAGTTACTTTTACACTTTCCAAAAGGAAGCTGCTGTGGGTAAGAAGGAAGGAATGTGTTAGAGATTTTGAACTGTTTTAAATGCAAAGTAAAGTAAAGGTGATGGCCAGCTCCTTCCTCTTCCTCCGTCCCTACTTCCCATGCTATGCTGTCAGGTTTAGTTTTTTTTCTTTCCCTTGAGAAAATGGAATGAGAAAGTTTGGGCTTCTTGTTTCTCTTGAGAATAGCCTGTTGGGTTATGTAGTGTTTATGGTTGAGTGTATCTCAGTCTTTTGTTTTTAAACTCATTACTGGAAACTGGGAGATTATCCTGGGGAAGGATGTGTACGTGCTTTTCCTTGCTGGCTGCCCCGAACATCTGCTGTTGGCTGCTCCTGATAGAGGATATCAGGTTAAATGCAGTGTTGATCTGATCCAGCATGGCTGTTTTTCTATTCCTTCACAGATAATTAATTATATTCTGGGCCACAAAGAAAAAAGACACTGGTGTGAGGACACTTGTATGAGATAAAGACACAGACTTCTGCTGTATGTTTGGCACAAAAGATGTTTAATGAACCACTAGAGCCTGGGGACTCTCCACTTCTGCTGCTACTGCCCTGGTTTTCCCCGTACCCTTTGGCTCTGTAAAAGGTGCCAAAATCATCTCTGGGATGTTCAGTTTCTGAGTTTCTGTCTTCCTGCTTTTTTTCCTTCCCCAGTTAAATATGCTAATAATAGAACAGTTGTTTCTTCTCTCTCCACCTAAAACAGCAAATAATACATTCATCTTTTATGCCAGCCATCTATATTGCACAGATCTATTTAGACATTATAGATTTGGGGATTGATGCCAGTCTTTTTATTTTCTGAGTTTTTTGGGGGGGAGCAGCATAATTAAATGTTTGAAAATTGCAAATCCTAGTGGGCTTAAATCTGTCTAGACAATGTGAAACAGACTTAAGCAGAACTATTAATAATAATAATAATAATAATTAGAATGAAGCATACGGAGTAGGATGTAGAATAACATTTTAGGATGTTTCAGTAATCTTAGACTGATTTCTTCCTGGTAAGATGGATTTGGTTCTAATTAGTTGACACATTTTACCGTTCAAAGTAAAAACCTTTGAAGCAGGGAAAATGGAAATTGGCCTTTGGCAAGTGAAACTGGACCTTGTTCCTACATGTGGAAAAAAACTTTGCTACTTATCAATGGTAGCTTGAGTCCTCTGTCCTGTGTTCCTTTGAGAATCTACCTTTGATTGTGATATGCTTGTTCCTCTCCCTAGTAGACTTCTGACTAGAAAGTAATTTACCTTAAAAGTGGTTTCATCAGATTGCCATCAGAAATCACGTGAAAGTAAATGAACAGAAGACATAAATACTGTATTTGGAAAAAAGATTGCACAGACAAGGACACACTCAAGAAGGTCACTTTGGAGCTTCTATTCCAGTTCACATGCATAACACCACTTCCACAATAATGTGACTTCTTGTCTTATGTACTGTAGAGAATTTCCCCTGCCCCCCTCCCCCCCAAGTCTAAGCTATATTTACTGATTTTAACAATAGAGCAGTGTGAGTGCTCATCACTGAAGCTGAATGTGACTGAAAATTATTTATATGGCCTCATAGTCTCAGTTGTGCTGAAACAGATGCTAAAATAAGCAGTCTTACAACAGAGTTTTTTGAGGTAAAACTAGAAACATTACCTGAGAGGACAAAGTGATCCCACCATGTGGAATACAAAAGAATACACTTTTCTTCTGGTTCAGGAGTTTACTGGGCATTTTTAAGTGAATAAAAAGAAACACTAGTATATGCAACATCCAAAAACATTTTAAAATGTCCTACTCCTGAAACTACTGAGAATGCACCAAGAAGTTTTATTAGGGTGCATTTTGGTGCATGTGTGTGCATTGGTACAGTGTGTGTGTATTTATGAAATAAGCAGAAGCTTAGAAATGTGAACTGTCGTGAAGCTACAGCTGGATTTGAGCTGATTTCCCAGTACTAAAATGTGGACAAAGAAAAGGACAAGGAAATATGAGGAACAACACTAAAGACAAGGAGCTGACATTTTCATGTTTTGTCCTGAAATGACTCCTTTGAAACACTAGATGTGAATAAACACCAATGCTGCTCGATTAAACAAAGGCAAAGTCTTCCTCTCTATTTTTTTTTTTGGTCTGTAAGCAACAGTGAAATACAGTATTAAAGATGCAAAGCTTTTCAGTATTTTGCCCATTGTAGGCACACATAGGCACTCTTAAATGTCACACACTACGAGAAGATTGCACCAAGGAAGGGAGGAATTGACAAAACTTCCTGCAACAGCAAGTGTAGTTCTATTACCACAGTTGGAAACATAGTAATTCTATTTCATAAATGTATCCAGGTCCCTCTTCAAATGGCTAGATATTTGTTATCCTTTGTTTCCTGTTTGGAAAGCTTTCCAGAACTGATTTTCCCCCCTAATTTCTAGTAACAGTTTGTTAAGGTTCAGGTACAGCTTTGCACTGACACAGCTGAAAAGACAGGCAGGGGATGAAGAGAGGACCCAAGAAAGCCTGACCTGTACAGTTTCAGCACTGTTTTAGGTTTTGCTTGTTGTGTTGTCCTTGGTGCTGTCAGTGGGATATTTTCCCCATTATCCTTTGTTTTTAATTTTTATGTGGACCAGCTGTGTGGAATAGGTTGATGCTTGAGTTGTCACTGGTGCATTAGGGGCATTAGCTGCCATTTCTGTTGGACTCTGTGCCTTGTGGGTTTGTTCCTCTGCTGCCTGATCCTGGTGAAAGTGGAAGTTGGTTGAGAGACATTTCAAACCAAAATGATGACTTTAGTTGAGGAAGCAGATTTGAGGTTTTTTCCTTGCTGGGAGTTTGTGCTTTCTGACTGAGGCAGTCTTGGGCCAGAGGATTTTGTGAATCCATAGATTCACAATCCATCTGTCTGGATCCCTGACCACAGGAATACAATTAATCCCATGCATGTATCCTTCTGACATTTTTCTTCCTTAAGAATTATCTTCCACAAAGGAAGGTGCAGAGATTTAAATTTTCTCAGTTGCACACACAAATCTAAGACTTGGCTGAGAATTGAATTTGTAAGTTTTAAGTCTCTGGCTGTCAGCCTTCTCTTTGGACTGTTGCTTATATTGCTTGTAGTTGGAGACATTCCTTTTGCTTCTACTCCAAGAGGATGATTGCCCTTTGATGCAGTCATCAATGAAATAATTCCTCTGTATTCAGCTGGTTGGAGGGTGTTCTTCCAAGGTTATTTTTAGAAATCACTGAATATACAATGAGGGAATTCACTTCATGTACTCCCATCCAAACAGGTGACTAATCTAACCTTGGAGATCACACTAGATACAGACTTGTTGTAGTAGATGGAATTCAAATTGCTGAAGAGGGTGAACAGATCTGGCATGGCTTTTATGGGCTTGCTTAGATTGTTTTATTTTCCCCTTCCTCTGTACTTCAGAATTCCAGGTGAAAAGGCCTGTGCACTTTTCCTCCTCATGTGTTTCAGATGTGAACTATAAAGATGCTGGAGGTGAAACCTCCAATGGATATAGCAGTACCATGAGACTGTAACCATTAATGTTAAGGCATGGTCTGAATTGTTGGTTTCCATGGAATGCTGTGAAGGTTTTGTTCAGCTATTTGTGGTCTAAATAGATTCAGTTTAAGAATATACCCAGAATCAGGGGGCTTAATATTTCTTTTTGCATTCACTGTGTTAAAATAATTGGATAGAGTCCTAGGAGCTGACTTTTCTGCATAAAACAATGGTTTGTCAGATGTGTAGCTGCTGCAATTCATTGAAATGTTTTGAATGAAAACTGGAATTAATTTGTTAGGTTTTCTTTGCTTTATCATGTATCATGCTAAACAGCTCTTGGCATAATACATTTTGTAGTGTTCAGTATTGTTTTTCAGTGGGCTTTAAAGATACCCCATCTCTGGAACATATATTTTCTTCAAGTTTCACAACTTTAAAAAAAAATAATTTGTATAACCATAATTCTGCTTCTCCCTTCTGGAACAATTCTCCATTTTTGAGTATGCTCATATTTCACTTCAGTAAGCAAAATGATTACCTGCTTTTACTTCTTTCTTTGAAACAAATTGATTGTAAGTGCTTGAGCATTCTGGGCAAGATTTAAACTTGAATTTTATATAGTGTTGGGGAAAGCTTAGCCTAGATAAACTGTGTGAATGATATTTGAGAGATATGCGATTTATTTTGCTCAGCATAACAGAAAGTTCAAATAGTTGAGAAAGCAATTAACTAAATTATCCAGGAAAACTGAAATTAAATTCCATTTTCAATATTCTGCCTAAGGAAGTGATATGTCTCCTTTCTTCAGCAACATCAGAATATATGATGGGTGAAAACTGTTTCAAGGTTCTTTAATAATTCAGCATGGAAAGATGATACTGTGTAAATTGTTTCCTGCTGAGTTTACATGATGCTGGTCCCCAGCCAAAGATGGAGGGGGTGTTTTTCGGGCAAGGGGACAGAATAGGTTGTATGGATGGGGGTGGAAGCAAATAGCAAGTAATTTATTAATTATGGAAATAAAGCTAACTATGCAATAGTTGTAACTACAGCAGGTTTCCAGGGTAGAAATTTACCAAAGGACAATCCATTATTACATTTTTCTCTTTTTTTAGGCTCTGGATGTTGACCGAACTGTTCTCTACAAAATGAAGAAATCTGTCAAAGCCATAAACTTATCTGGTCTGGGTAAGTACATAATTCCTGTTAGTTTGTATTGGTAAAAATAGAAGGTTTAAACAGTCAGATGTCATACTGAATCAGAAAGAGGTAACTCTGAGAAGAGAAATATGTGCATTTTAAATGGCAATCTTGAACTAGCTGTTTGAGCATGACTTCAGTAGGGATGAGGTGTTGTGGGGTAGCTGAACCTCTCTTGCTGCTGTGCTGGTACTGAGTGGTGAAGCTGTGCTCTCCTCTTTCCACTGGGTGTGGGCTCCCTGCTCCTTCTGTCACGCCTGCTGCTTGGCAGATCCCTAGATGAGTTTTTAAGCTTGTATAAAGCCGCATATGCAGTGAGATCAACTTAAGTGGGATTAGATGAGCACCTGAAGTGGTAGGGCCATCAAGGCGGTGGGGGGGTGAAATTACTCTTTGGCTGCAATAAGAAGCTACATTGGCTCTACAGCCTTGTGAAACCTCAGTCTCCCTGGTGGCTTCCACTTATGTATGTTGAGAACTTCATGACAAGAGGGAGCTGATGAGCTGCAACTTTTTGTTGTCATGATGTAAAAAGTCAGATATTTTTCATACAATGCTGTATAAAATATAAAGAACTATTGCTGCATGCATTTTTAAATGTATGCCAATCTCTTAGAATTGTGTATGTTTATCTTCTGTGAAAAAATATTTGAAGCTTTTGTTTTTGTGGATCAGCAGCATTTTGTGAATAAGAAATAGCATTTGTTTTTGTGGATAAGAAATGGCATTTGTTTGGCTTTTGTTCTCACTGTGCAGTCCATAGCAATTAGAGCTAACAAAACCTATATTAAGTGCGAAATAGATTGGCCTGTCAACCTTGGAGAGCCACCAATACCTGACAGAACTTGTGGCCATGTTGGTGTTCAGACAAGGTTAGAACAAGAACTGCTGTTGTGGTATAATTCATCTCCAGTAATTGAAAGGAAGTTCCTTGTCGAATGTAATAAAGCTGTTATCTTTGGATTGTGGAGGGTTCAGTTTAAGATTCATCAGGAGCTGTTTCACTGATTTGCCATCCTTTCTTCTCTTCTTTTTCTTGCTTGGCTGTTTTTTTTTTTTTTTGGCTGTTGAGTTTTTAAAAAATTTTATTCTAGAGTGCTAGACTATGCCTCATAATCAGAGTACCTGTTAGAGCATTGTAGCAAATCACTAGTCTTTGCATAAAATCAGCACCTTGCCCACATTTTAAATTTGTGCTGCCCACACAATCTTGACAAGAAAGGTTTGGAGGCTTTTATCTTCCCCCAGCAGAAACATCACTAACCAAGCCACTTGTCAGCCCCTGGGGTTTCTTTTAACAAAACAAACCCCATGGTCCTATGCTCAGAAGAGCACAGCGACTAGATTTTTAGCATAGGTTCCCTAAATAGTTAATAATGTTATAATAAAATATTGGTTTGTCTTTTTTTCATGTTTTGTCTTTTTTATTAAGGCTTACATAGTGACTCCCAATTTGTACATAGCTTGGGTTTTTACTTAAAGAAAGCCTCTAAACCTTCAAAATTGGATCAGATTTCTTTTTTTGATTTCATACCTTTTATTTGTAGACAAATTTTTACAATTTGTCAGGAAACACCATAGAACAGGAAGAGTATTTTGGAGAATTCCATTGGAAAAGTAGCTTTTTGTGTTCTTCAGAAGCATTTGAGGGGTACCAGCTCAGTTAATAGTACTGCTGCAATAAACTACCATCAGCATTCTGGGGAATGTCTCAGAATCCAGAAGAACAGTCCCCAGGATGGTGGGGAATAGAAGACTCCTGGGGATGCCATGTGGAATGGGTGCTGTGCTTGTTTCCTAAGGTAAAAAGTCAGCATGGCTCAGCTATGGTTGCACATCTAGCCATAACACTTAATGGTAGCAGCCTTTTCACCTTGCTTTCATGCAGGGGCTCCTTTCTCTTTTTGCTGTAGGAATTGTGGCTTGACCTCTTCTCTCACCTGGGTTCATCTAAGCTAAGCTGGATGCAGGAAGCAGCAAAAATGCAGAAACAGTGTGGAAATAATTCACCTTACTGGGTAGATGTGAGATCTAAAGGAGCTGTGACCTGCCACATGCTCATTTTTGCTGCCTGTGCCAGTTCATTGGAAGCTTGTTCAGGTGTATATATGTCACACAATAGAATTAGTTGAGCATCCTTACTTCATGCTACAGCAAAAATTTTGGTGAGTGCTCAGCCCTTGCTGTTGATGCTGAGGAAAATAAGTAACTTTCAGTGCTAATACTCAGTTTTTAAATTTAATAGCTATCTGCAAACTATCTGTCACAGGCTGCAAATTCAAGTGCTCAAGTTAAAGACTTTTAGAATTAATGCTGTTTGTGTTAATACCCATTCTGTACATTATGTCAGTCTTTAATTACATAGTGTTATACCACTACAGCACAGGGTTTTAGTTTCATATATTGGAAATTATAAAATTTGTAGCTGTTTGAGAAATAAAGTTCTTGAATGGTGTTCCAGATAGGACACATGAAGAGACAGGTTTGTTTTTAGTCTGGAGCATGATAAGTTTATTGAACAGGTTATATAACCAATTCACTTAAATTTGGAAAAGGACATTATATCAAAAATACTTTGGATATTAAGTGTGTTTATGTGTAAAAATGGGCTTGAAATGAAACAGAATCATTGCTTGTTTAAACAGATTAATCCTCTCTAAATAATCTTCAGGGTTTATGCTAGTCTCATATAATGAACAAGACAGTCTTTGTCCTTATTAATGCATAATTTGTTTTCTAGGGTGTGGAGTTTTTTTCCCCCCTGACTTCCTTTGAAGCTTTAGAAATTGTCTACAGCTAGAATAAGAAATAGGCAATGTTAGCTTTCTCAGGTGCCAACTTTGTGTGCTTTGTCCACATGCTCAAGCATGACATGGTCACTAAACTTGAGTTCAGAAAAACTTTCTGTTTTCTTCCACAGGTCAAATTGACTTTTGACAAAGGGACTTTTTATGCCTGTCTATATAGGCAAGTAACCTGGTGACCTAGGAGTAAATCACTTGGGCAAAGTAGTTAAGACTCTCAGATTTCCTTTATATTCGAGTTTATTTTATGCCTAGTTTTCCTCTCGTGCCCTGGGCTGAATAACCCCCAACATGTGCAGCTCAAAGCTTTCTGAACATTGATGTTAGATGTGTGCTGCATTAATTGTCCTGGTGCAGCCCAGGACCACTGGATGTCTTCTGGGGCAGAGCTTCTGGTTTTGTTGTCTCAGAAGGGAATCTGGTTGTCATGAACCAGAACTGCTTTCAGAACTGACCTGGCCTGTGGTAAATGCAGATTGCTAGGATATGCTGCCCTGAAACTGGAGAACTAACATAGATATGGTTTTGTCCTCTGTAACGTGTTTTGTAGTCCTTTTTCCTAGGATGACCCAAGAATATTTGATTTCTTGCCTTCTGTGGTAGAGATCCAGCACACTTTAGCTCCTCTGCTTCTTTTTCAGCACATAGTAGAACATAATAGCACGCAGTTAAAATAAGGAAGTGTTAATAAAGATTAAAATCTAAAAGTTCATTATAGGAGTTGGGAGTTGTTGTGATGTCTCTGTATATGGTGCAGAAGTATTATTTCTGTGTCTTTCTAGGATGTGAGATGTTTGTCTTGTCTTGGCACATTGTCATTTTTACATGTGAATAGGTACATGCAAACCAGAATGAGTGAGGTATGTCATACTTCTGGCATATCAGTGTTAAAGTGTAAATAATGACTGGTTTTTGTATCAAGTAAACATTTTTAACAATAACTCTGGAAAGCTTTTTTTTTTAAACCCCCATAAATTGTGATTTCAGTAACCTTTTATCTGATGATGATATCTTCGTGTTTTGCTCTTTTTGAAGCTCATGTGGAAAATGAAGAACAGTATACACAAGCACTGGAGAAGTTTGGTGGCAACTGTGTTTGCAGGGATGACCCAGATTTGGGAACAGCGTTTTTAAAATTTTCTGTGTTTACAAAGGAATTAACTGCACTCTTCAAAAATTTGGTAAGAATTACTTAAGAAAAACCTGTTGGAATTTTAAAGCCAAAGGCTGTATTTTGGAATTATAACAGCTCTTCATATTGAAGATAATTTATGTTTTAGCAACCACTGTTTTTAAAAAATTCTCAGCTTATGAAAATATCTCATGTGCTAGGTTTTCCCCTTGCAGAAGTCCAAACTCAAATCAAACCAAAGAAATCATAAAAGAAACCACCACAACATAAAACCACAACAAATCCCCCTCTTCCAACATTTCTCACACCTAAAGGCTTCCCACAATAAAGTAGTTATAACATGCATTATAAAACACATTTCAATTTGCTTTAAAATGTGAAACCAGCAAAACCCAACTTGATTTACTGTGTGATCACAATGTTTTACTTTACTTTTTCCCACTTTCCATTTGTGTTTGTAAAAGGAGATTTTAGTGGCCCTGGAAGAGAGCATTTTTGCTTCTCAGGGAAGTGAGTCAGGGAAACAAAAATCAAGCAAAATGCTAAAACAACAGTAGCGTCCATCGGGGACCAATCCTACTGCTGAAGCCAGTAAGTCTTAAAAGCCTCTTTGGTGAGCCAAATGGGATGGAGCCAAATGGAAGAACGGGATTTTTAATTATAAATGGAGAATTTTCAGCCTCAATTTCACATTAATCAGAGGGTGCAAAAAGGGCAGATTCAGATTACATCCTACCAGCCAGAGCTTTCCCCTATCTTAAGTACCGAATTTACTTGAATTCACAGAACTCTTATACCAGGGGCTAGGAAGGGGAAATGACCCAGATTCCCAGGAGCATTTAAAAGTCTGTGTCTGCTGAAATCAATGGCATGAAGACACATCAAATGCTTTTGTGAGTCTAGACCAAATGTCGGTAGTTTGCAGCCAGCTGGTCATAATCACTTCTTTGGGGAATGTTTCCAGCTGATGGGATTTAGGGCAGTTCCATTCACTCTCTGATGTTGTCCTGTCTTTTTACCCAATCATGATATTGATGAATACAGCCACAAATGTATTTATCAACAATGAAATGTATTGCATATTGGTTATATTGATTTGAACTTCTCTGGATGTGCAAATACTATCTGAGATTATGTATCAGAAGAGGCATCCTGATTCAGTGTGAGTCAGTTATCCCAAACCTCTCATACAGAGGCAGGCAGCTCCTATGGAAAGGAAAATTGAATGGGTCTTCTAATTGATGCCTTCTGTTGACTAAAACCCCCTCTCTGTCATATATTAATTGCAGTATGATGAATTCATTAGGCAAATGGATCTGGGAAATGTGATGTTTAAGTGGTTTTAAAAAGCAATCTGCTAAAAGCTGCACCCCACTCCCCAGAAAAATCTTTCAATGTATTACATTTCAAGAATACTTCTGAAGGCTAGAAGGTGTTGCTTTTTTACCAAAAATCTTAGCTATTTGTTCTCATAAAACCAAAAACTACTATCTTTGCAAAATGTTTCTGACAAGAATAAATTTTCTTCCACAATTTGGAAAGGACAAAAACACCAAAATAAGTATCTATGGGAAGTTGAACGCATGTTTTTGTTACCTCTTGTTATCTACCTAAGTGTGTTGTGTGTCTTCTCCAAGGAATATTTGTAGGTTTTTTTGCTGTGTATTGTTTTTTTTTTTTAGTAGCAGCTATGTCCTTTTGCTTCAGTTTGTGTGTATAAGAAGAGGCTATGTCATAAGAAGTAGCTAAGTCTGTAGTTTTTCTCAGTTTGTGGTTATTTTCTCTGTTTTTGAAGGGAAGAGTAATTTTGCATAGGCATGAATGTAATTTCTTTTTTTAATATTGCAGTAGCATAAGCACCTTCTTTCTTTATTATTTCTGGTGAAAAGCAGGTCTCTGTAAAGTTCTAACTCCTTCTTAATATGTCTCATATTTATGAGGTTTGAAGCTTTTTGTTTTTTTCTGACTAGCAAAGGAGACCTAATGGTCCTTGAATTTGGTGTCTCAATAGAAAAAGTTTCCTCCAGAAAGAAATACATATGAAAAAAAGATGTGAACTTCATTATTGCTTGTAAATGCCACATTTGTGAAAAAGAAATCTGGAATAAAGAAAAATGATAGTCTTATGTAGCTTTGCCTATTAGAAGTTAATGCCACTAGAAAAAATTTTTAATAACTGGTCACTTTGAAAATCTGTTCATAAATTCAGTGTTTGAGGTCCAGTTTTCTAGAAGGTTAAAAGGGTATTGATCAGTATAAAAATTTCTGTACAGGAATTGGAAATGATTTGGGATGTATTTTGTTTAAGTTATAGCCATATGTGCATTCTCAAAATGAGGTGATGTATCCAACTCTGAATGCTCTCTTCATAATGGTATTAAAAACATGCTTCTCCTCTGGTGTTTCCTTGTAGCACTCCACATGTTTTGGTTGTAAATATTTTCATCAAAAATGTAGCTGGGGCCATGCAACCTGCTACTGTTAAAAAAACATTCTGAAAGGTACTCTTTGAGTAGACCTATCTCTGGAGTTTCACAGGGTGCTGAATTTCCACAGAAGATTTTAACTGAAGTGGATGGGGAATGTGCAAGGAAGTGAGAGGACATGTTCAGACTGGAACAGATGCCAAAGCTATTAACACTGGCAAGGCTTTAGGGCTACTGTCAAGTTTTGCTTTGTCATATATTTTACTTTTGTTTCTAGAAGCTGATGTGTTCTGTCAGCTTTTGGCCTGGATGGCATTTAGAGCTGTAGCTCTACAGTGCTTCTGCACACAGATTTTCCTTAAACTTGTCCTTTGTAAGGTAGAGGAAAGCCCTTATAAAGTTGTTCTGCTTTAACTGGAGTTTCAGGTGCTTGTTTTCCCTAACAATTTTTAAAGTTTCCCAAAAGACTTTGAAGTTTTTATGGCCTTATCAAGACATCAGTGTTTTAAAAAGTATTTCAATAACAACTGAAATGTTTTTGTTTTTAATCCTAAAACCTGTATATTTACTATTCAAGTTAAGGTTTAGGTCTTGAGGTTTTTATAAGTTTGCTATGCTGCTTTCATGTGTGCACTTTCAAATAGTGCATAAAATTTAAAAAAACCCCACCTCAACCTTTGTAATTTTTCTTCACTTTTGAAGGGATATATAAATACATCTTCAAGAAATGAATTTATATTTACTGTATACAAGATCCTTGTAACCACTCATTTTAGCCATTCTACCCCAGTTTGCATTATTTGCGTCACTTTGTGATATGTACTGTGCAATTATTTTCTCTTGCCAAATCTCTGATATAAACTTGAAAGTTTTTTTTTCAACTTCTGTTTTTTAAGAAGATTGAGCAATCAGTTTTTCTTTTTGGTAGTGAGAGATCTGAAAATACTAGAGGCCATTTTCAGAGATAGCATACTACATTTTGTGGCAAGCACAATATGGCTTGTTGATGGCAACCTTGTTACTAATTCCTAATAGACTTGGACCACCCGCTAGAGTAGGCAGTGCTCCCGGGTGGGTGAGGTCTGTATGGTACTTGCTTGTAGTGTTAATTATTATTCCTTCTTAAGTATAGTGCCAAGGGATAAAGGTGTGAGTCTTAATATGAAAAATGTTAGGAGAAGGAAAGGCTCATTGCAATATGTTTCCATTTTAAATATTTTCTCCTTTAAATCCTATTAAATTGCTACACTGAGAAGAAATAAACTCTAGCTGTGCATTTTTGTCAGCAGCCCTCAAAAAGGGGTTTGATCTGTGAAAATGAAGTAGCTATTTAACAAGTACCATTTTCTGTATTTGTTGCTGTTATACTTACTTTTTTCCTTTATTTTTCATTTATATAAAGTTAAAGCTAATGAAACAAGCTGCATTGAGAGGAGTGAATCTGATATTTCTGCTCTGTGGAAGACAGCTGGAACTAAGAGATTCTAATTTTTATTAATAATCCTTGGAGTTTTAGTCAGAAAAAATGGAAGAACAGCAGTGGTATTTTTCTGACCATATGCTCTTGCTTTACTTACTTTTTTAAATGTAAGAAGAAAGAAAATGTGCTTAACTGTAAAAGGTAACAGCAAAATTGAAGGAACTATCTTTTCTGTGTTATGTAATGAACTAGAAAAATTTATGCCCAGAATTTTCTTTGTTTAGACCAAGGTGTTAAAACACAATGTTTGATGCTTGAACCTTTGCAAACATATTTTTGTTTAGAAGGACTTGCTGAAGTCCATGAGAAAACTCCACAGGTGTACATGTTTGAGACTGGACTATTATATATGGAGCTTAATGATTTAAGTTGTGAGCTTTCAGTTTTTCACCAGTACACTTGAGGAAAACTTGGATAACAGTGTGAGTTAAAAAAGGGTACTCTTTGATTTATGCTTGTGGAGATACAAACCATAAACCAATAATTCCTCCTTAGCAGCATGGATTCAGCTCCACCTGGAGTCAAATCTTTATTTTTTTGCCAAGGGGTATTGATCCAGCTGGAGGAAATTCAGAGGACAGTAATAAAACATGATTAGGGCTTCAATAGCTAGGTTTATGAAGAAAGTTTAGAAGAATGTTTACTTCACAGATAACTCTGATTGTGGAGGAGGAAAATAATAAACTGTGTATAAATGGAATCTCACTCTGAAAATATGAGGTGAAGCGCCCAGAGAAAGTGATAGAAGCCTACACTTAGGTCTTTCAACCTAGGTTAGAAAATGTGCACTCTGGAGCTCTCCACTGGCAAGGAAGAAGGACCAGAATGACCCCAAGCCTCTTCCTTCCTTTTCTTTTGCAGCTCTTCATTTTATGCTTTTCAGTTTTCCCGTGAAATACTTCGTAACAGAGAAGTTCCCAGTTTGTAGTTTGCATATTGGTGCTAATAATGGAGCTGATTCTTAGTCCATGGTGGATACACTTGGTATCTTGTGTGAAGACATTTTTCTAGGCAGCTGTGCCAGCAGCTCCATGGGGACACTTAGTGGTGCTCAGCTCCTGTTCTGCTGGAGTCATTTTCCCTGTGGCATAATGGGTGGTGGGTGATGTCCCAGCTCAGCCACATCTGAGCTGCAGGGGAAAGGGGGTGAGGACAGAGGAAGGACAGCACTGTGTCCTTGTATGCAAGGGGAAGACAGTGCAAAGATGAAAGTTTGTGCCACCAGTCCTTGTTACATTTTTCTGAAGTCTTGGGGATAGATGCTAAACCTCAAAGGTCAGACAAACAATGTCTCATCTGTACAATGCTCACCAGAGCATCTGTGGATGCTCTGATTTCCACTTTCTCCCTGCTGTGTTGATTTGCCTTGTCCAACTAAAGCTCATGTCACTAGGAAAAATATTGGAAACTATTAAATCCAATTGCACTTGCCATAAAAAATAGAAAATAACTTAAAGAATGATTTGTCACCAGGCAGTACTGCCATCACCTGCACACACACAAGCTCACTGATGGTTCAGAAGCCCACAGCCAAGCATGGTGACTGCATTTAAGGTTTAGTAATGGCAATAGGAGACATACCATACTGCTCAACTGCCTGAATTTTAGTTTAAACTGAACAAGCTTTAAGTTCTGCATGTTAAGACAAGTATTTAACTTCTGAAGTATACTGAAAAGGCTTTTTTTCCTTTTTGCTTGGATTTAGCAGACAAAATCCACAGAAGTACTGTGGGTACCAGTATACAAAGCTTTTATGGAAAAGAGCTTTATGTTAAAGTAATCAGGAGGAAGTAATCAGGAGGGCTGGCAGTGCATTTAAATGTTTAACCATGGGTCCTTAAACCACTTGAACAACTCTCCCCTTTACAAATGCTGGCTTGCTTGTTGCCTCTACCAGCACTTCTGGCAGCTATATGTTTTGTTTATATGCTCTCTCCCCTGCCATTTCTTCTTCTCTGAGGCTTCTCCAACTTAGGAAGTTTTAATTTTTTACACTGTCATCTTGTTGGAAACTGTCAGAGGAAAACTGCAAGTGCCAAAGCTGCAAAGTTGGAAGTGGAAACGAGGTCAACTATTTTTTTTTCCTTTCTTTGTTTTTTAACCTGTGAAATTTGCTAGCATTCCTCTGAGATGGGATGACATTAATTTCTGTAAAGCTTTCTTGCATCTTGATGTATTTTTTAAAGCACATTTTAAAACATAAAGTAGTCAAAATGTAGAGTCCATTACATATGAACTCTGCACACAGAGTAGGAGATGCACATATTACTGCTTCTCTGTATGCCAAAAATGGGTCTATATTTTTAGATAGTTCAGCTTATGCTTCTCATGAAAGAGGGGAAAAACATGTAAGATCTTTCATCTGTATATTGCTTGCTGAGTTATAAATATGAGGGAGTATGATTCATCTAACTGGGTTAATAATGACAAGTTCATGCATTATGTATGTTTACTTTTGTTACAAATAGAATAGGAGCATAGGGAATACAATAGGCTGATGGTAATGTACAGGTGATGGCACACAGAAGGAATTAATTTGAATAGGCAGATATTCTCTAAACTTTTGAAATGAATGTAGAGGTTTTGGCCTGTTTTTTTGGTGTTGGTATTTTTGGTTTGGTGGTTTTTTTTTGTTGTTGTTGTTGTTTTGTTTTTTGGTTTGGGGGTTGGTTTTTTTTTTGGTTGTTTTTAAGTTTCTTTGGACTCCAGGCTTCATGGTGTGAAATTCTAGGAAATATCCATAACTATTTTGGAGTCTGATTAATGTTTAGACATGAGTATACTTCAGATGGTTTACTTTTTTATGACTTAAAGAAAAATCAGTTGTCTTGAGTCTGCTGTTGAGAAATGCTTTGTTCTTTATTCCTGTGTACTGAATTTGAGGAATAATTAAATGGAGGCTATGAAAGTATTGATCCTTATTGTCAAACTTAGACATTTGACTACATCATACTCATAAAACAGAATGACAAAGTAGAAAACTTCACATGGGAAGATATCTTGAAAGAGACCTCTTCTTTTTTCCACCTGAATAACCATTCTGGATGTGCACTTGCAGCTTCTAGAAGTTTTGGGGTTATTTTATGTAGGTGTTTTGCAGTTTAAACCTTTGCACTTATCCCTCGTATCTCTGACATATAATTTTGTTACCTTTGGGAATGGTTGTGCTGATATGTGCACGTGGTAACGCTGCTGAGGACTGAGGAGGTGGATGGTTTCCAGCACTGCCAGCTAAGCATGTGTACATGTTGCTCATTCAATTTTTACAGGAAGTACTTAAGAAAAACAACCCCAATACAGAGCCAAAATATAATTTGTTTATTCTGAAGGGCTGTGGTTGGGTCCTGCAGCTTGTTGGGGAGGAGAAAAAGTAGGGTGGAGGAGGGGAAATATTATTTGTGTTAAGAGTTTGAAAGACCAGATTTTCTGTATTACTTTAGCTTTTCCATAGCAGAAACAATCTGTGTAACCTTTAAAATTGATGAAGGTTCACTTTGACTGGTGGCTGAAATTTCCAGCAAAAGCAGCAAGGTAGTTTCTTTGAGGAGGAAAGGTGGGGACAGTGGGGCTTTGCTTGTTTGTTTTAACAACAACTGTTATGTATCATGGAGTTTGTTCTAGTGAGGCCACCAAGTAACTACAGGGTGATAATATTTTGTCTCTGGGGAGACTGAAGCATCCATAATTGGAAATATTTTTTCCTTGAAATTTTAGTATTCTTTCACCTCTGGATGGGTTACACTAAAGGGGACTTTGATGTCCCTGACATAATTCCTGAAGAAATAAAAGCATTTGTTCCTAAATGATGGAACATTTGAAATTCATCTTCATGTCAGGATTTCAGAGCCATGATGCAAAGTTCTTTCTATAACTGGAACATTTAAAATTCATCTTCATGTCAGGATTTCAGAGCTTCTTGAAAAAAAATTGCATTTTAAAAGAACATCGTAAAATACCAAAAAAAAGAAGTAACTCATGCAAGGGCAACTTCTACTGAACTGCTGCAGAAGTTATGCTGATTTTTTTGTGTTTGTGTTATTCTAAAGTATTTTGGGTTTTGCTTCTCAGAGCAACAAATCTGTTTGAATAGTTACAGTTTAAACTCTGCCTAGATATTATGATCCATACCTTGAATGTTTTCCCTGAATCATAAAGGAGTTGATATACAATCTTTCCCTAGCTGTCTTATTCCTACAGTCTTTCTTTGTTCTTTTTACTTCCTAAAATATTATCATACAGATGCTTAACAAAAACCATGATTATTTTACCACTTTCTTAATTTGAAATAATTTTTATCTTCTTGAAGTACTTGAAGTACTTCTCTTGAATTGCTTACATACTAAAGACCCCACTAAATTCTTATTTCACAGTTTGCATGAAATAAATAAGGCAGATGTATTGCTTTTTAAAAAGAAATGGAAAATATTGGAATGGTGATTATTTTACAGGCTAGCATTCTTTGTCTTTAGAACTTCTGTCAGAGTAAGATGCCATGTATTGGGAGAGTAGCAAATGTGCTTTATAGAATAGGTCTGAAGAGGCTGGAAAGTAAAAAGGTTAATATAAAATATGCTCATGAACTTAAAATTATCAGTGGTTAAAAATTAAATGCTTCTTTTCATAGAATTTAAATGAGGAAATAAGGCAATGTAAAAATTAGTGGTCTTATTTTGCAGACACTGTTGGATGAGATATTTATAACCAGAAGTAATTCTGGAGGTTTCCTGCTGGTTTGGGTTATAGAGTTTCCAGAGTGAGTTTAATTAGCTTGGGTTGCTTCCATCTTTGATTACTGGCTATGCTGATAAACATCTCCATAAGGCAGGGACAGGAAAATAATATGTAATATTTCCTTGTGAAACTTTCTGAAATGTGTATATTAAGACAGTTTATGTTCTGTGTCTAAATATGTTAACTGATTTGGTGTAATTTTCTTGTTACAGATTCAGAATATGAACAACATAATCACTTTTCCATTGGACAGTTTGCTGAAGGGAGACCTGAAAGGAGTGAAAGGGGTATGTCTTTCCTCCTATTAATATATAGGACTGTTGTTGGTACAGTAGATACATTTAACAAGTGTATTAATCTTATGTGTTGGAAGGTGCAGGACACTCAAGTAATGTATTAGCTCAATAAACAAGACTGGGGTTTTTGTTTGTATTTTGAGTTTTTTTGTGAATCAAGTCATCCTTTCTGTTTGTGGATTCACATACCTCATGTTCTTGAGTATGTATACAAAACAACATTTGAGAAGCTTTAAAAGCAGGCATGAGATACAGAAGACAAGCAGAGAAAGAGGTGTAAGAGTCAGATATTTACTTAGTTGTGTTAAGGGTAGTACTGTATTTTTAAGGATTTTTAGCATTCTAAATTTACCTGGAACTATTAAGAAACACACATTAGAGTGTATGAGCATATTTTTTTTTAAAGAAGCTGAAATCTATTTATCTATTTGTTTACGCCCCAAGAACATTTCCTATTTGAAATAACAGCAACTTAAGACTCAAATGATGATATGTTTATGATAAATTTCAGAGCCTATGGCGAGCAAACTTACTTGGCTTTTGCTTTGTTTGCTAGTGAGCAAACAGGAAGTGACTGGCAGCTATTGTTCGAGGACATCGAAGGAAGGAGAAAAATGTGTGCATAGACTAAAAATGGTTCCTGTAAATTACTGGAGGATAAATAGATTATTTAGTAAGATAGACTTATTATCTTTGTGTTGTTTGCTTACCACATTTCACTCGTGTTTTTCTCTATGTCAGAATAAATACATTTATTACAATACAGTGTTTCCCCACTGCCTTGAGTATATGATCAAATGCTACTTCAGTTAATTTAATAATTGGCTCAATAATTAATTAACATGTAAGAATTAGTTCCTAATCTGTAGTTGCACAGTTTTTCCAGTGTCTGACAGTTGTAGTTGTCTGTTCTCTTGAACTTCATCAAAGTTTCAGCTCTTGCATTTTTAGACATCAGTGAAATAACTTTACAACTTGTTAAGATAATTTTATCCAAATTACCTTATTTAGAGGAAAGAAGACAAAGGCATTTAGAATGAAAGTAATTCAGAATTCTCATGGAATTAGTTATGCTAAGCCATAAAGTCTATATTGTTCCCATTAAGTCAGTTGAAAATCAAATTTTTTAAACTTTAGTGTGATGAATCAAGTTCTTAGCCAAGGCTATACTGCAGCCTTGGGACAGGGACTTTTTTCCAGTAGAGGCAGAGATAGAGTGATGAGAAAGTAGTTACTTTGATTAATTGCATAGTGTGGTCTTGGGACAACATGTTGTTATACTTTTTAAGGAGTAAAATGGAGCTATAAAAATCATAGTAAAGAGCATCCTAGAGATGCTTTTAAAAACATGAGTGTATTAATTCTCTTTGCAAGATTGATTCTCCTATGTGTGAGATTGCTTTTGCACTACCCTTAGAAGAAAGAGTGAAGTTCCTTATTCTAGTAGGCACTGCAAGGGGCCAAGGTGTGTCTTCACTGTTAGAGCCACAGTATTTTTCATGTAAACAGCTGGATGTTATTTTTTCTCTTTTCTTGACAGGACCTGAAAAAACCCTTTGATAAAGCTTGGAAGGACTATGAAACAAAAGTGTATGTATCTTTTGAACTTTTATTTAAGAGGGAAATGTAACTGAAACCTGTACAGGTTATTACTTAATGCTGAGGTTGGATGCTCTCAGCAGGTGCAGCATGTACTGGAAGTGGATGTACACCTCTCTGAGGCTTGGGAGTTGTGTCTTAAGTTCTGGATCTAACTTTGCTTAGCATAAGCCACTTGTTTGGAGTTACCAGATACACTGTTTAAACAAACAGCTATAAAATAAGTTTATAAAAACTGGAATTTTATATCTAGCTAAATAAATTGAATGAGTCAACAAAGCTCAACACCTAATATCAAACACAATTTATTCTGGTTCCTAGTAAATCTTAAGTGATTCTGTGTCCTGCATCAGGGACAGTTGTTTCCAAGGCTGGCCAGGTTAATTGTATTAGTACAGCTGACAGTCTCTGAAGTAGAATTTTGTAGTCAGTTTTATTCCACATTACAGTACTACCTGGATTGACTATCAGTTTTGTGTCACATGTTCAGTGTCTTTGTTCCTCTGAAATAATGCTGCCTTGCATATGCCTTGCATATCATCAGACCATCTCTGATGATACAGGTCCAGAAGAATCATGTATGATGACACTATTTAACATAAATAACTTGCAGATCCACAGCCAACTAGACTGGCTGAAAATCTAGCTTCTCTGGTGCCCACTTAGTTAGTCTGTTTGAAGTCTTCAGAAGTTATTCCTGTAACTCATTTACCCACAAAAGCAACCAGTTAGCTACATTTCATTATTCCTTTTGTGAATAGCAATGAAAATGGTCCAGTTATTGCTTTCTAGCATGAAATTGTGAGGAAGACCTGTGTGGCTTTTGGTTTTTGAAACTGCCTAGCTATAGCTGGATTTTCATAAAAGGGCATTCTGGAATACTGAGATAAACCTCTGGTCTGACACTCTAAATCCATAGAAGATCGTGTTGGCTCCAGTGTTTTATGGTCCTGACACTGGTAAGCAGTCTCATTTGGTGCCATACCAGTTATTGACTATTGAAGTAATTAAGATTTCTAATCACTGCTTATGGCAGTAGTTGATCTCTGAGGATAGGCCTTAAAGAATAGTCCTATATTTTAGTCTGCTGCTGTCTAGCACTGCTTGATTGCCTATGGCAGTAGTTGATCTCAGGACAGGCCTTAAAGAATAGTCCTATATTTTAGTCTGCTGCTGTCTAGCACTGCTTGATTGCTGGATCTGAAATCTTGTTTACTTGTGTGACTATTCATACTGACAACCCACAAAGTTTATGTGCAGAATTTGAAATAAATTTGTTCATTGCTGGGACATACACCAAGAGTAATGTTACTACTGGACCAAGACCTCTAGTGCTTTTAGATTTCTGGTCTAATATTCACTAGGATGAGTGTGTTGAAATGATGTAAAGATTTCTACTTAATCATCAGTTTGTTCGGAGCTGGCATTTCAGAGTCAGATATACCAGAAATGTTTTCAGTTGTTATTTAATTTTATTAAGTACTTGAGAAGTAAGAAATCCCCTTAGAAAATGTATTTGTATATTTGGGGATTTTCATTTGAGCTTATGGACATGTTGGAAATGTTACTTTGTGTGCTGTGTCATTCGGGACCTGAAAACGTGATGCTGACGATGTGTTTTCTGTCTGTGGCATTGAATCCATTGTTGCTTGTATTTCTTTCAGCTGGCAATCCTTTAGAAAACCTTTTTTATGACTTTGCTTTCAAGTAAGACACTTGGGTTTTGATATGAAACAGGTTTTCTTTTTCACAGTTATTTCTACTTTCTGCAAGATTTTTTTAACAAATGAAGCAGACCTACTTGACAATGCTAATTTCTAAGCCATTTATGTGTCAGGTTATTCAACATGCAAAAGTTGAAGGTAGCACACATTCATCAGGAACATTTTTCAGATGCATGAACTATTTTTTTGGTATTTCTAAGTGGTGGGCTGGTACAGTTACTGAGTTCTGTGTTTTTTTAAGTGGTTAGATGAAAGCTCCACATCAATATTTTGAAGTTTTAAGCTCTTAATTCAGTCTGTTGGACTCCTTGACTTTGATGAAGACCAAAGGATCATCTGCTTGAGGCTCAGGATAGGGAGCCTGGGAATTCTGTGTGCAAGACAATTCTTTCAAATAATGGGCTGCTCTTTTTTTGCCTTTTTTTTTTTTTTTTGTAGGCTGTTCTACAACAGTGGAAATTACTTTTCATGGCATAAGGTTGGTAGTTAGGGAGTACTGTTTTTCAGTGCAAGCTGTGTTGCTTATACTAAGGACCAGACCAGTTTTCTGTGGTTTTGTTGAATTAAATTCAGTCTTGGAACTTCCCTGGGACCACTGCCCATAGAACTGTGGAATTTGTCAGACTCCTGGACATAAGATCAGTTCCCAGATAAATTGAGATGTTACGACTTGTCATTATAGAGCATTTGTCTTTAAAAACCAGGGAGTACTGTTTTTAAGTGCAAGCTGTGTTGCTTATACTGAGGAGCAGACCAGTTTTCCATGATTTTGTTGAGTTAAATTCAGTCTTGGAACTTCCCTGAGACCCCTGCCCATAGGACTGTGGAATTTGTCAGACCTCTTGGACATAAGATCAGTTCCCAGATAAAGTGAGATGTTACGACTTGTCATTATAGAGCATTTGTCTTTAAAAACTAGAGATGGGAATCTTAATGATGTGATTTTCAACTTAGGATGAGAATATTAATTTGAGCTTGAATTTGTTCAGGTCATCTTTTTTCTCATACTAATTTTTTGACATAGGAAAACAGTGAGGTTTCTCTGGGTTGCTATTGTACATGCTGCTGAGGTTTCTTAAGAAATAACTCTTTTCATTCTGTGACTGTCCTGGATGAATCTAAACTTCCTTATAGCTGTGTGTTTTGATCATCTGTAGCAGTGGGTGGATGCAGAATCACCTCAAAAAGTCTTAATTACAAATTTTGGGGGTTTTGTTCTGGTATCTTCATGCTCTCTTCTTCAATAAAAAGGACAAAGGAATGGGGAGAGGTAACCTCAGTCTCACCTACAGCTTGTGTTGCCAGAGTAGAATGGTGGATGTAGGTGCTGATAGCCAGAGGTTTGCTCAGCCTTCTTCAATCTGTTAGTTTAGGTAACTCCTTGTTTGAATTCTGCCTAAAACCAGTTCTAGGTGTGTGCTTAGTGAGCTGTCTTTTCCAGTGAGATTTCTTCTAACATGTGAATAACTCTTTTTAAAATTCTTCCCCCTTTATTTTTCTTTCTTTTCCCTTTTGGTTCACATACTATTCAAGGCTGCTAGGCTGCTCTTTTTCTGCACATGCCTCTGTATCATATGCTTAACATCATATTGTTCATCTGCATTTCCTAGTCACAAGTACAGACCTGTGATGCTACATGCCAGATAATGAAGTGGTGTTTTTGTAGTCTGTTGGGAAGTGACAGTTTTCATAATGATTGCTGTCTTTATAAGGAAAAATTTTAAGCTTATTTATCACACTATCTCATCTCTCTTCCTTGCACCTTTGTGATAACCTCTTGGGTGCAAATATACCCAAGTGTGACATATTTGAAAAGAAAGAAAGTTAATTTTAAAATGGCATCTGCTTTGCTTTATTCCCATAACAATTTTTGAGATTCAACCTCTCTCTGTAATGAGGTGTGTTTAAAAATTCCTATGCATCTAGTTCTTGTTTGGGAGAGAGATGTTAAGATCCTTTCTGATGATCTTGGATCACCATCCATCATTGTTGATTACTATGCACCTCCTTTGCCCTGCAGCCACCTAACTTCTCAGACTATTTTCCTCAGGATCACCTTAGCTGAAATAAAAGGGGGAAGTTGGAGCCCTCTTTCTCTATACCCTGGGGCTGCTCTTGAGTAAGGTGGTATGAGGAGAAAGCAATCACTAGCTTCATGCAAACCTACTTCGGTCAAAAATTGGAACTATCCTGAGGTGGCATTTATGAATAATTTATATTTTCTCACCACCAATCATTAACATGACTCAGTTGGAGCCATAAAGATTTTAAAATGTTTTTAAAGCCTTAAAGCAGTGCATTTCTGATGGGACCTCAGTTACAGTTGTTGTTTCCCACATAAAAGCTGGGAGATGCCACCAGAGCAGCGCGGCGGGACTGGTCTGTGTCCTTTGGGAGAGCTGTTTCAGACTGGGCTCTTCTTGCTACGACGCAGTTGCTTTCCCCTGTGTACTTAAACACTAATGGCAGGCGTGCCGGGGGACCATATGGGGAAGGAGTACACATGTCATAAAAACTGCTCATTCTCCCAGCAGGCAGATTGGATTCAGCAAGGCACTGAGCCAGATATCACCCACATGCTTCAGTTTGGTCGGTCCTGTTGTGGTAGATTCCGAAGTAAAGACTTTGTGTCAATTTTACACAGGAAATAGAAGCATGAACTTACTGAAGCATATTATTCACAAATTTTTTTTTAGCTGAATATGTCTGTATTCTGGACATAAACCTGATTTTCCTGAAAAGAAAAAAAATATTTTTAAAAATAGAGTTGTCTTATTTTGGGGCCTGTAAATGCCTATTATCTTCAGAAGTCTTCTTTAACAAGTGTTGTGATCATGCTATGAAATGTAAACGTCAATGGAAACTAATAATATTTGAGCTATTTTTGGGAATGCTGATTACCTCTCCTTCTTTGCCATTCTCCTTTTAAAAACTGGGCATGAGGTCTCTTTGACACAACTGAGTGAAGAGAACAAGTTGTTTGAATATGCGTGTGGCATTTTAAGATCCAGGCGTTAACAATACGTTACTGTGAAAAAATGCAAGTGCTCATATCTAGAAATAACTATAATTCATGAGTTTCTGAACTATTTGAAGTCAATGGAAAAATGAACAAAGTCAAATACAGTCATCTATTAAGATGCCTGCACAACTATTTAAGTGATGCTATTTCCAGTTTAGTAAATTAATGTTTTACACAATATGAAACAATTTGAGCTGAAATTCTGCAAGCATTTCTCAATTTACTTCTTCAGAGCTCTAACTTGACTCAGAAAGGCATTGATATTCATAGCTCCTAGATATTGCTGTCATGTTTCCTTTTAATGCAAGTACGTAAGATGGAAGTGGAGTCACAGCTTGTAAATAGTGGTATAGAATGAAAGTGCTAAACAAGGTTGCTTAAACATAGAATCATAGAATAGAATAATACAATCATTTAAGTTTGAAAATACCTTTAAGATGATCAAGTTCAACCATAAATCTAACGCTGCCAAGTACACATCTAAAGCATGTCCCTAAATGTTACATCTACACATCTAAATACCTGCAGGGATAGCGACCCAACCACTTCCCTGGGCACCCTGTTCCAATGCTTGGCAACCCTTTCCAGAAGAATTTTTTTTCTAATATCCAATCAAAACTTCCCCTACTCTTAACTTGAGGCAGTTTGTTTTTGTGCTATTGCTTGTTACCTGTGAGAGGAAACTGAAATTCCACTGCTAAAATCTCCTTTCAGGTAGCTGTAAAGAGTGATAAGGTACCCTTGAGCTTCATTTTCAACAACGTAAAGAATCCCAACTCCCTCAGCAACTTCTCATCAGACTTGTGCTCCAGACCCTTCTCTGTTGCTCTTCTCTGGACTTGCTCCAGCACCTCAGTGTCTTTGAGGGGCCCAGAACTGGACAGAGCACTTGAGGTGTGGACTCATTGGTGCAGAGTACGGGGGGACTATCACTGCCCTGTACACACTATTACTGATACAGGCCAGAATGCCATTGGCCTTCTTGGCCACCTGGGCACATGCTGGCTTGTGCTCAGCTGGCTTCTGACCAGGACCTCCAGGCTCTTTTCTGATGGGCAGCTTTCCAGCCACTCTGTCCCCAGCCTGTAGCGCTGCTTGGGGTTGTTGTGATCCAAGTGTGGGACCTGGCACTTGGCCTTATTGAACTTCATACCATTGGCCTTTCCCTATCGATCCAGCCTGTCCAGATCCTTCAGCAGTCTTCCTACCCTCCAGCAGATCCACATACCCCCAGCTTAGTGTCATCTGAAGGCTTACTGGGAATGCAGTCAATCCCCTTTTCCAGGTGATTCATAGAGATATTAATCAGGACTGGCCCCCAACACCGAGCCTGGGGAATACCACTAGTGACCAGTCACCAGGTGGGGTAGTTTCATTCACCATCATCTGCCAGGCTTGGCTCTCCAGGCAGTTTTTTTGCCCAGTGAACAGTGTGCCTGTTCAAGCCATAAGCAGCCAGTTTCTCCAGGAGAATCCTGTGGGAAACAGTGTCAAAGGCTTTACTGAAGTCCAGGTAACCACATCCACAATATACTGTTTCAAGTCTAAGATTTCATATTAAGTATTTTTATTTTGAAAGAGATTACCTACAAATTAAATGGAAAAGTCTCTGAATGAATCTGCAGATGCTATGGGTGAAATGATGAAAATATCTGAGCGCATTTTGCTCCTTCTGTCCTCTTTCCCTTTATCATTCAGAGCAGGATGTATGGAAGGGAGAACCTTTCAAGTATTTCCAAAAGGAAAAGGTAACTTCTTCATTGAGGATTTGAGTGTTAGGAGAGACATACTTTACTGTGAGCATTGACAGACAGTAGGGTGAAATGAAATGGAGGCTCTTTCACCAAAAAGCTGGAGGCCCCAAGCCTGGAGAGTCAGGCTGAAAAGGAAGACTAGACAAAGAAAGGATATTTGAAATGAAAATATCTATTATTTAATCAAACAAAATAGCCTTCAGAAACACTTTTCCCAGAGTGCTACCAATTCAAGTGTGTTCCTTCCAGGTGCTATTGTCAGTCCCATGTATGTACCCAGACTCAGCCTGGCTGACTGCTGTATGGAGAAGAGGAAGAATGACAGAGTTGCTTCCCAGCCAGCCAGTTCACTACTGCTGCATGTACACAGGGTGCTCTGATTTTTTACCCTTATTGACTGGCAGAAAATAAATACATGTCTTTGGTGCTTATTTATACCACAATCTGTATGACAAAATTGATTTGTTTGAAATGAAAATTGTGATTTATATTGAAAGATAGTTGCTTTTCAAATAGAAGTGGTAAAAATAGTCCTATATTGGAAACTGAATGGGTGAGACCATTCACTTTGTATCTGTTTACCTTTACTGTTGTAATTATACATCCTGTATTTCAGCTTTGCTTGTCTATTGCACACATCTGACCTCACTGTATATTAGTTATGTGCAGCTGCCTTGTAAATGGACTGACGTGTGCTCACATTTTAATCTTAGTCAGCAAAGTGTGTATGTGTGATATGTGCTGCATGAGCTCCAAGAATAGCAGCATTACAAAACATTTGCTGCTTTCTTATTGTTTCTAGAGTATTTTTTAGAGTTTTCACAATTTTCTTATTGATTTGGGTTAATTCATCTGCCTGGAAAACCTGAATACCCTGCAACACTTGGAAATCTCACAGTGTAGTGTTACAGGACTGTCTTTGCCAAAAGGATTTGGTAATGTCACAATAGGCTGACACTTGAAGCTGAGTTGATCCTTGCATTTGGATAGGACACTCAGCCAGCCTTTAGCACTCGGAGGATTTGCATTCAAAAGGGCTGTGAGGGGTTTCTTTGTTTCCCTAGATACAGTATCAGTCAGATAGCAGGTAGCCTTTTACTGTGGCAAAACAACAGGGTAAATTCTGAATGACAAAGATGAAGATGTAGTTAGATATTAAAAGTAAAATAATGAGGAAATGTAAATGTGAAATGCACGAGGCATGTATCTCTGATACTTGTCACTGAGAGGTGATTTGGGGGTTTTGGTAAAGTATCTTTTTGAGTTTTTGAAAACAGGTAGCCTGAAGCTCCACCAAATGGCTTCAAGGATATCTTTCTCTGAATTGCTTGATAGAGGTCAGTATATTTTCATCTTAGTTTAACTATTTTTTTGCCTGTGGAGTATGGTTTATCCTTTAAAGAGCAGAAAGCACTCTTTCACCAAAATCTAGCTTTCTTTAGGAGGAGTACAATGTATGCTGTGGTATTGTGCATAACATTTGACTGTTTGGCAGTGTTAGCTGTCTTTTGGTTTAACTAGCTTTGAGAGATACCTTATGGCATGCAGATAAACTCCCAAGATTTTGGACGTGGTTTCATTTTCTTGCGGTTGAGTATTGTTCTCTGTAAAAAGTGAAAATACTATACAATGGCAGTTGGTAGTTATTAGCCTTCTCACACCTGGTCACACATTAGTGAGTTCTTTGGCCTCAAGAATTGCTGGTTCATTTGGAAACGGAGAGAACGGAAACATCCTGGATCTTTCCTCTGAGGTTTGACTGCTTCAGAACGATCAAGTATGACATAATGTAAACTCTTCTAGAGTGTGTGCTAGAAATGAGCTGCATATTCATAATTTTCTGTGAATCTTTTTTGTAGTGGTTTATCTTTCTTGTTCAGGATTGTCTGGTTAATTCTTGTGTCTGGACTCTTGTTTGCTGTGCCTTCAAAATAGCATAACTGGTAGTAATTGGGTAAGAGTGGGGACTTATTCTTGATGAAAACAAAACATTCTGGAATTTAGTTTTAATTCAGGCAACTGGAGGTTTTCAGAACATTTATTTCAAAGGAGAGGAGCTTCCTTCAAACGTCTGCTTCTGGCAGGATGCGATGGACTGAGGAGGAGCACAGTGCTGGCTGAATGTGCTGGCTGCTGCAATACTGCACAGGGCTGGCTTTGCTGTGCCTGCCTGTGCTGAAAGCACAGTGGGGCTTCTTGAATTGCTGCTCAAAATGCTTCCCAGTGGGAATGTTGTAGGGAAGGATTAATGGAATGAATTCTTGTTTTCCCATGCTGCTTGAGGTGTAATAGGAGGCAGTTTCTCATTTTTGAGAAGTGTAAGTACAGAACATTTTGTTGACTGGAAGTCCTTAGACCTTCTAGACATTTTCCTATAAGCTGTTAGGGTAATGTTAACATCAGGTTAAGAGAGTACTTGAGACATGTCACCTTTTCAGAGAGAGAGCTAAGAGACACTTGACTGCCCAAGAGGAGGTAGGACAGTTGTGTGTGTTATTTGTTCCTCTGATCTCCTTCCTGTATTCCTTGTTCAAAAGCAGCATAGCATTTCCTCAGGAAGCTCTTTTCAGAATTTTGAGGTTCTAAAAAGTATGAATGACAAGCTAAGTCTTCAAAAAGTAAACACCCTCATGTATTTTCTCTTTATATATATATATATATATATATATATATATATTAGACTTATCTAACTGGGTTGTCAAGTTATACTACTGCGTTTAGGAATAATATGGAGAATAGCTTTAACAAATGCAGAAGGGAGTTTATAGGAATAGGCCAGGCATTGGTTATTCATTTATATTCTGCAGGAGAACCTGTTTTATTCAGAGCTCTTGGAAAATGTTCATGGAAACTTTTAGGGAATTAGGACAGCTGGTCTAGCAGACTTTGAAGTCTGTAACACAGCCGGCTGGTCGGCATTCCCAGTGCCAACTGGCTCAGCAGCAAATAGAGACAGCAACTGTGATTTTGGCTTAGGAAACCCTGTATATATAGAAGATGACTTGATGACAGGCAAGACTCAATAAATCTGGTGACATAACTGAACTTTGTTAACCAGTGTTTGCTCTGTTGGGATTAAACATCCCCCTATGTTTTCAATTAAAACTCATTATTTTTTCTTGTATTTTCTTTCTTTGGAGCAGGAACTTAGTATGTACTTCTCATTGACTCTCTTTTGGAGTATCTGTCAGAACATTACTTTTACAGATGATTAATTAGATTTCAGCTACTGTATGTCATTGCTGATCTTTAGTCATTGTCAAATTTCAAATGAAATGTCATCTGGACGTAAGTCATATGCAAAGCTACAGGAGTTTGGCTCTGCATCTGTCAGTAGACTTTGTGAATAATCTGATTTCCTGAGAGGCTGTGGATTTCTCACTTCGTTGACTGATTCTTTTTGCCTTATAGTACAAAAATAGAGAAGGAGAAAAAAGAGCATGCTAAGCTTCATGGGATGATTCGTACAGAAATAAGTGGAGCTGAAATTGCAGAAGAGATGGAGAAAGAAAGAAGATTCTTCCAGTTACAGATGTGTGAGGTAAGATTCAGGGTGAAATTATTATTATTATTATTATTATTATTATTATTATTATTATTATGCTGTTTGTAGGAAAATTTTGAAAAATGCAATTGTTTAAGAGTGGCTGTGATATTAAAGGGAAATACCAAGTTATTTATTGACTCCATTTATGAAAACACATTTTTTAATTATCCTGATGGGCAAACTTTATAGGGAATTTAGATATTTTCTAATTGCACTAAACTGCTAAATTAATGCAAATAAACCACCAAGAGATTGCAATAAATCAGTCTTTACACCACTACTTCACTGTAAGTTATTTTAAGCCCTTGATCATTCTCTGAATTGTTCCTTTCCTGACAGCTGTTGCATTATTAGAAGTAGAGGCTCTAGTCTAGCACAGGGTTGGTACAGGAAAAAAGTGCTAGGGATGAAATCCAGTTGTCTTTCAATTTGTTTCAGAATGTTTCTACTTCAAAATCTCTGTGATTTTGCAGTATGTTAAATCTGATGTGAATATTTTTGGTTCGATTGCTTTAAGGCTATGTCTGGTTCTGTTGTTGGGAATTCAAGTTGCTGTGTTTGTTTTTAGTACACATTAGCCCAAAAATACACCATGGGTGTTTCTACTGCCTTTCCTGTGATGATGATAGCTAATTTGACTCATATGCCAGCATAGCATAACTGCAGTTGTCCTAGATATTACTTTTAGTAACTGCATGCACTCATACATAAGAGAAAAGTTTCACATTCCTATACAGAATCAGACTAAAATGTTCAAAACTGATTAAGGGATTTGAGTAACAAATAAACATATGGATGCTGTCAGCTAATTGCCCATCTGTATCCTTCCTAAGAAACAACTAGGAACAGATGCTTCTCTCTTGCTGTGTCACAATAAAGGAAGAGTTCACTTTAGTCAGTTGTAGTGATAATGAAGGGTGATGTCTGAATTTGGATTAAATTACTCTAAATGTGGAATAGCTGAAGTGTATCCTGTATTCCTTCTGATTTTGAGGAAAAGAAATTTATACTAGGTCACCTCTGAATAGTTGTAAAAGAGGACTATGGTTTTGTTGTGATAGTAAATGAGAAGGGTGACATATTGAAGTTTTATCATAAGTACCAACTAGTTATCTATAAATTATGGAAGTGAACTGAATACCAAATACCTAGAGCTCCATTTGAAATTAACAGGAGCTGGAGAGGTGATTGTTGTAACTAAATACTATCCAGTGCACACATCTACATTTAGGCTCATCGTTTGTTCACCTGAACCAGCATAAGAAGCTGCAACATTGAAAGCTGGCACTTGGATGCTGCTTTACTTTAGCTGATTTAAAACATTTGGGGTCTCTGGTGAGAAGGGGAAACCCAGATGCACTAGAGCACCATTAAGACATTCATTCTTTCACCAGGAGGTCACTGGCTAAGATGGGGTTAAATTTTTTGGTAATTTCATGGACAGTTAAGGACTTTGATATTTGATCAATCATACTTCTGCTTGTGTGGCTGACATTTTATGCTGTGATATTCATGGGAAGAGCTGCCACTTAATATGGACTTTGTGCCTTATGCAAAAGGACAGTAATTACACTTCTTTTGCACTTGACAGTAGATTCATTGAAAAATCTCTTGCTAAACTGTAATTTGCTGTAATTACCATGTATAAGGATTTGATAAAGAAAACTATGAAATCAACAGGCAGATTTTAAAACTTGTTGAAATAATTGCTCACTTTAATTTTAGCCAATTGCTTTCCTCCTTAATGACATCTGTATAGTAATGAATTTAACAACTAGTGAGATAAATTTTTAGATGTGCTGCTAGGTATAAGAATGGGTTCCTAAATGTACTGCACAAACCTTTTCATGCTTTCTTTAACAGTGGCTTTCCTTAGGAGCCCCAAAGGATATTCTAACAATTTGAACAAATCATAGTGAAATATCCTCACAGGATATCAAAAGTCAGCAGACAAGAATTCTTTTTGTGTGATTTAACTCTTTAAGCCACTTTTTGCTGCATTTTCTTTTAGCTTTTGTAAATCTGTAACTATTAAAACTTGTTGAAATATAATTGAAAATAAAGTGTTAAAAAAAATCCTGTAGCAGTAATAAATAATTTGTTTTGTGAATTACTGTTTTTACAGTACCTGCTGAAAGTCAATGAAATCAAGATTAAAAAAGGAGTGGACTTGCTTCAGAACTTGATCAAGTATTTTCATGCTCAGTGCAAGTATGTTTTACTTTTCATAATCTCTACACTAACTGGAACAACATTTTGTTTTCAAATTTTGACATCATCATAACACTTTTCTAGAATCTTCAAAATCTTAAGTTTCAGCTGTTCTTGCTGATGTTTTTTGACAGATTGCTTTTGACAGATTAGTCATAGCTTTTGTTACTATATTCTGAAACATGAAATGAGGTTGAGCTTGTTTTGTTGATTGTAATTGTATGTTACAAAGGAATACTGAACAATAATTTGCCATGTTTATAAACTACTCTTGAAACAGGGCTTTTAGTTTGATCTATTACTTAGTGGTCCGTTAGTTTTGATGGACTTTGAGTGTATCTAACAATGATGTAAATTAATTATGTGCTCAAGAAAAATAAGTTGCATAAGCAGTGGAATAAAACTATATTGAAAGAGTAACTCTTTTTCTAGTTTATTGGAGGAGGACCCAGTAGTAAAACACAGAGTTCTCATTAGAATTATGTGCTTTTATTATGATAGTGTTACAAATCTGTCATGTAGCAATGAAGTCACAGCTATAAACTTGAAAGAGCCACTGCTAGCTAACCTGTTGAAATCAGTTAAGTTTTTATCATCTTAAAATACCATGCATCTATGAGTTTTTTCCTTAATACTTGTGTTGCTTTTAAAATCAGTTTCACTTGTAGTGTGTCATTAATCTGCTCTGTCCCTTTAATACAATTTTACCAACGTAAGTGCTGTGTTGCATTGTCACTTTCATGACTGCTTCCCAGAGTGAAAATATTTTATGTTGTGAACAGTGCAGCAATATTTAAACAACTATGCATGTAACTGTGATTTCTTAAAATTTATTTTTTAATAATTTTTTTTTAAAGAACTGGAATACTTGGCATAGGCAGCATTACTCTGCCAATTCAAAATGCATGTACTGCAGAAAGATGTAGCATATTCTATAAGCTTGCTTATAGAGCATAATTAATGATTGGGAAACAGAGGGGTTTTCCTTTAGTAAAAAGATTGCATCAGACATAAAATTATGTGGCTTCAAGAAATCACAATTATTTTATATGGAGCTTTTGCTGTTCTGCAAGTGAATCTTTCTTGTTCTGGGCCTTCACAAACTGTGATGAGAACTTGTATTTGAGGTGAGAATGAGGAAAATTTATGTGGCAGTGGATTCTGGCAGTTCTGAATCTAATTGGGGATTTTGCATGTTAGAATAAGCTGTGATGGAAATAAAGAGGTGAATCAGTCAAAGATTAATTTTTAAAAAGTTTACTATTTTGAAGTTTATGCTATGGTATAATAATATGCATGTCTTACTATGGCAACTTTTTAAGCAGAAAATTCAAAGTAAGATTTCATAACAGCTGGCTTTTTGCTTTTCTTTTTAAGTTTCTTTCAGGATGGGTTAAAAGCAGTTGAAAGTCTCAAACCTTCAATTGAGACGCTCTCGACAGATCTTTATACAGTGAGTAGCAACATCTCACGTTTGTGTGGTAAATTTAGTTTTTTTAAGTAGAAGAATTATCATTTTGTTTCAGGTTGTCTGACTGCTTTAATAGTCAGCATTTAAGGTTTAGAGTAGATTGTTGGTAAAGTCTTGTTTTAATATGACATTCAGAAGTCTTAGTTTCAATTCAGGACCCCACTGTGTAAAATGTTAGGAAAAAAGCTTTGCTCAAAAGTGTTTATCAAGTGGAAAATAACATGTGGTTTCGAATGGAACACAAGGAAGCAAGAGCATTGTGAGGCAATATCAAAGCCTTAACCCAGCAATATCCTAACCATTATCAAGTTTTCTGAAAATACAAGGGAAAATAAACTGATCGCATTGTCTTTTCTTTTTGCTTTTATTCTCACTGAATATTTCTCAAAAAATGAACCAATTAAGTAGCAAATTTGCATTGAAAGTTAAAAAAGTGTTATTTTTAACCTGTGTTTTTCTTTATTCAAGATTAAACAAGCACAAGATGAGGAACGAAGACAATTAACACAGCTCAGAGATATTTTAAAATCAGCACTCCAAGTTGATCAGAAAGAGGTGAGTATATTGGGTGGTTTAACTTTGGAATACCTATTTTAATTACTTGTAATGTAATGTTAATATTCAAGATAAAATTATTTTAACTGTTATCAGACATTTAATTCCTTTTGTTAATTCATTTTTGTTTTGAGGCTGATGTTGAATGTTTTTGACAAAGGCATTTTTAAAAAAAACAAATGCCCACTAAAAATGTGACTTACTGAAAAAGAATTTCTTTTCATTACCAGTGTTGTAAAATATTTCAGATGTTGCACTGTTGCTCAAACTGAGAATGAAAGAACTTGGGCAGTATCAAGAAGACAATATTGAACCTTGTCTCACAATATTACTCCAAACTGTATAATGGTTATGTAAAACTGAACTTCAAATGCCAAAACACCTCTGTCATCATCTGCAAAAAATGGCAATCAAGTTTGGTACTTAGCTGCAAAATGCCAGTGTTCAGATGTGCAAGAGCTGGGTCAGTTTGGCAATCCAATAAGTATTTTTTGAGATCCAATTGTGATTGCCATTAGATTTAATGAATTCTAGAGTAGTCTCAAACTCTGATCTGGAAGTAAGCATCTTTTGTATAATGTAATCCTAAATACTGGGTCTACTTTTGTTTCAGATTGCTAATTCCTCCTCTTCATATAAACAAATGCCAGCCAGCTTCCTTTGTGTGGCTGCTGGGCCATGAGTAAGTGATGAATGACCACCCCCCACTCTTCAGATTCTTTCTGAGAGGGATTACAATGAAATAGTTTAGTCTACACAGCTCAGACTTCCTTGATCTTTTCCGGTCTTGCTTTGATCTTCCCATAAAAGTTCTGGTGACTCCTCGCTCTTACTGGTGACAGATGATGGTTGTGGAGCAATGTAATCTAGTGAAAGGTGTTCTTGCCCACAGCTGAGGGTTGGACTTGATGATCTTCAGAGGCCACTCCCAACCCAGTCCATGTGATTCTGTGACTTGCATACAGGCATTTGGAACAGTCTCGAATGCTCCTCACTTTGTTACCTTGGGAAGTTTGTGATAATGACCATTGTACAAAGTCCCACAAGAGCAGCAGGCACTTCCTTAGATTCTGCCTGGCATTCAGGACTCACTGATTTGCCAAAAACTTCCAAATTTGAGCTTGGTAGAATGAGACCCTAGGGAACCTCGTGGAAGTGGTGACTGCTTTGGGTTAGCCATTGATTGTCCACTCCCAAGAAGGAGCCTTTGCTCTTTAGGGTGTGTTAGCAGGTGTCCTCTTTTAGTTGGGTCTGTGGCTTTCATGGTTGCTGGGAATGTCTATCAGTGATACTGATATTAAATATATATGGAAGATGTGACAAGTACACATTTTTTCACATACTCAAAAATTAATAATACACATACATTTGTTATTTCTACTGAGTTTGTGACATTTAAAAATGCGAGTATAAAAGTGCTTTATGCTATTATTTATTAATTCTTCAAATTCAGATATAGATGCTTACCTGCAGAGCATGAGAATTATTGTAATTATTTTTAAAGCTTTTTGAAAACATCAATTAATCAGTGGGATTCCAAAGAGTTCCAGTGGGATGCCAAAGAGTTCTTATATAATTTACTGTACAACCAACTAATGTTATTCTTGTTGCACTGTAATTTTCTTTACTATAACTGATTTCTTTTTCCTTCCTGAAATGCATTTACATTTTGTGACCGAAGTCTAGGAGAGTAAGTGTTACTATGTTTTAATGAAAATAGTGGCATGATTTCCATTCAGATTTCAAGAAACTGGATTTTTCCTCTAAGCTTTTGTCTGTTGGCATGAAAAGACTGATTCTTTCTTCTCTTTGGTGTATTTTATTACCAAAAAGAAAAAAAGAAAAATATTAGCAAAAAATTTATCACTCTTCTTGAGAAAGAAAATTGTTGTAAGACAAATTGGTGATTTCCTTTGTACTTTCTTTTGGAAATTAAATCCAGTTACTTGATTTGATGTTCTTGCAAGATTTTGAAGCTGTATGTATTTTTAATTAGAATGGACTTCATATATGAAATGAAAGAATGTTGACAAACATTCTTCCTGTTATGTTTAAAAAATTTAACACACACAAGCACTCTTAGTGAACCCTCTTTTTGTCATGCCTATATGCATAGTTTCTTCCTGCACACAACTTCCTTAAACCTGGTTTGTATTGAAACTTTATTTTTAAATGTAATTTTGTGTACACCTTCATAATTTTTAATTTTTAAACTTTTATTTTTCAAATGTAGAAGTTCTGCAAGTTTCAGAGTCAACCTTAGAGATGTATTGCCTTAACTGTTCTTGTTCCCATGACCTTGAGTAAGGTCACCTCCTGTGACTGTAGTGTTTAGATTCATTTCTGCTTCTTTGTTAGAACCTATAATCTATTTAGATCACTGCAAAATAGGATAAATGTTGTGTTTCTTGACAAAAATTATGGTAGTTTTGCTGTAGGAGAAGCTGCCTGCAGGGGATAGATATATCTTTTGGAGACTCTGTGGGGCTGTAATAGGGATAGATAAGGGATGGATCTCTGGAACATCCTCCTGGCAATGATCCTGCAAATGTCAGAGATGCTCAGGCTCTGGGAGAGCTGTAAGAGGTTTTTTTGGCAGCTTTACACACAGAAATGTCTAAACAGTCTAAAAATGCTGCTCCATGGGAGCTGTGGAATGGCTGGCCATAATTTATTGTGTATAGGTTGAAGCACCTTGTATGAAAAGTTGTGTTATGTTCATGTGGTGGAGCTGACAAATAGGATCTCAGAATATCTCTTATCAGTAGTCACAGACCATCTTTAGAGAATACTGTTTTCACATTTCTTTCAGTTTTAGCTCTGCTGTTCAGCTTGACTTAAAAGCCAGTATATCTTCATAGACTTTGGGAGAAAGGTTTGAAATTCTTTCTATGGTCAGTGAAGTGATTCACTAAGAACATGCTGCAAATTTTAAATGACTCACTTCTTTCTATACACCTATTTACATTTCCAAGTTGATAAAGTGGTCAAAGTTCAGTTCCTTAGGCTTGTGTACTTCAGCCTGTTCTGATTTTGTTATGTTCAAGATATACTTAAAATGACAATACTCTGCACTAGGTGTGTGTCCTCTAGCCTGCAGTGATCCATTTCCTCCCGTAGGTAATGTACATTGTTTCTGCTCCTCCAGTGAGGCTGTTGGGTCTGTCCCTGTTATCTGTGATTTCTATCTCTGGTTTGTGTAGTATGCAAGCCAGAAATAAGGGAAGATCCTTGGAGTGCCTGCTTATGGAAAAGGCATGCTGAAAGGAAGGATGTTAATTGTGGTGGTGATTTGTGGGGTGGTTACTGTGTCTTAGGAGCTGGATGAAAATCATGAACTTCATGTCAGACAGCTGTGGAAAGCCATCATTTGGCAATCACATTGGACAGTATTGATCTGGACATGGCCTGAACTGAGAATTTAAAATGGACAATATGTTTGTCCTTAAGATTTTTTGACGAAATAGTATTAAATTTTTTAGATACTGTTCACAGTCATGAATGTGTGGAAATACACGTCAGCTGCTGCAGCTTCCTCTCCTGCTGAAATGAGGCAGGAAGCTTGTATTATTGGTTTGCCAGTTTGGCCAAACACAGCAGCTGAGCATAAACAGATGAAGGGAGGTAGCTGAAATGAGGCAGAAAATAATGCACAAAACATAGCAGCACAGACTAATGGGAATGGTACTATGAGCAGGTGTTGAAGGTCATCAGTAATCTTTACATAATTGAGGATGGGGAGAACTGAAATTAATTTCCTGTCAGGCCTCTAATCCTGTGAATGGAGTTCCTTTACTGGCTAATGGAAGGCAGAGATCAAGGCATTGGTAGGGCACAATAGGCAGTGTCAAATCAGATTTTCTTCAAAAGTCAGTAAATGTATGTGTGCAGCGGTTTTTAATGAGTGACAGGAATAGTTTTAAAATGTTGTTGTGGCTTTATGTTGTGCAGAGTGCAAAACCAAATAATTCTATGTAAACAGACTAGAAAGGAATGATAAACAGACTGGCTTAAATCTAAAGAGATGCCTTGTCAGGCACAGACAGCTAAGTGGCAGTTCTTTAGGGCCTTTAAAAGGCTCAGATGATGTTGTAGGTACCTGGTATGGCTTCCTGGCTCACCTGCTGAAAGGCAGGGAGAGGTCACAGGTTGCTTCTGTTGAAAAGGAGCACCAAGGAGTGCTGCAGCCTGTGCAGTGCACAGCTCATGGCTCTCAGGACCACTGAGCTCCTGTAGTGTATTCAGGATGAGCCTGAAGTCCTGAAGCTTGGAGGTGTGGAGGCCTAAGTACTCTGAACAGAGGTGTAGGTGGGAGCTCTGTCTCTACCATCATGTTTAGAATAGCTCACAGTCATATTAGTGAGCTCCTTTGTGGTTTTTTTCCTTACTCTACTTGTATTAGATGCCATATATAGCACAAGAGTAATTATGTCCATAGAGCAATGACAGTAGAAAAAAAATAAAAAAATAAGTAATAGTCACTGATACTGTGTGCATTTAAAAGTCCGTTTTGTCATGTTACTGCTGTTAATATGGTGTGACACATCAGATTGCTCATTTTCAGGTTCTTATTTTTGAAGAAGTTGGACTCTTATAGCAATGGGTCCTGCCTCTGGGTAGTTCTGAGAGCAGTGAGAAGGGTCCTTGTCTCTTTGTGTCTCAGAATTTTACTTTCTTCCAGATATTTTGCTTTAAATTATTATTTTTTGGAAATAAATTTTCAGTTTTCCTGTATGACTCCTGAACTATGTTTCCAGGAGGATTCTTCTGCTTTTCAGACAATAACTTGACTCAGTTTCCACAAAGAAAATCACTTCTTCATATTGATGTATGTAATTATCTTTTCAGTGGAAGAGTGCACTAGCAATTGCAGGTAATAACAGTCTTTAGTGTTTGTACCTTGCTGTGTTTACATGAGTTGGAAAGGCCACTGCTCAGTTAAGTTTTGGGTTAAAACCCCTATATATTAAGGCCAAGAGTAAATATAAATAAAAGCAAGTAAAAAGATTTTGGCAAGTGCTGATAATGGATACTTCTTAAATGTTTTTTGTGCCCTCTGAAAAAATAAATGGATCTTCTTCACTCTCATGGAGGAGCAAAATTTTGCTTCATTTGGCCTGTTGAATTAAAGCAGGAAGGAAAAGCTCTGAAACTCATTAATGGGGAAGTAGTTTGGTTGAAAGTGTGGAGTGCATCACAAATTGCTGTTGATTATTTCAGGATTCTCAGATTCGTCAGAGTACAGCTTACAGTTTACATCAGCCTCAGGGAAACAAGGAGCATGGCACTGAGCGGAGTGGCAGTCTGTACAAGAAAAGTGATGGGTAAGTACTGCTGCAGTTTGCTGGGAGAAATATTAGGTCCTAAGAGCTTAAGAAATATAATACAAAATGTATTTAAAACTGTCACCTTTCTTTTTTTTCCTTTAACTAGAATCAGAAAAGTGTGGCAGAAAAGGAAGTGCTCAGTTAAAAATGGTTTTCTTACAATTTCCCATGGTACAGTAAGTATTTGTTTACAGTATTTTATGTACATGGTTGCTAATACAGAAAGGCAAGCTATGCTGGTCTATATTTATGGTTTGGAATTAGCTAGATTCCTGATACAGTGTTTTGAATATGAGAGATATATTTTTTAAGGCAGCCTTTTAGAAATATATCAAGACACACACAATATCTAAAAATACAGCTATTTTAATGTTCATGACTGTTAATGGGAAAAAAAGGCTTATTTAGTGACTCAGTTCTTGTAAATGTTCATATTTTACCAGGCTATCTAAAAATACAAATTCAAACTTTTTTTGTTGTTGTTGGTTTTTTTTTGTTTTTGTGGTTTTTTTTGGTTTTTTTTTTTGGTTGGTTTTTGTTTTGGTTTTTGTTTTGTTTTGGGTTTTTTTGTGGGGTTTTTTATATTTGTTTGTTTTTTGGTTTTTTGGGGTTTTTTTTCTTAAGGTATGGTTGGGCATGATGCCATTTTTTAGATATGAGTTAAACAACTTTTTATATTTGCAAGATAAACAGAGTTTATGCTGAATTGCTTAATTGCTGAATGCTGAATTGCTTTTCTCCCCCAGATTTGCTGCTGTATGGTAGTCTGTTAGCTCCTTAGGGTCTTTGGAGTAGCTGTTGGGGAAAATCAAGTCTGAAAACAACTTCTACCAGAATGACAAGAAATAGAGAATTACAAATTCCTGTTTATTACTGCTACCAATATTTGAACACATTAACTATGGCTACTAACTATTTGTTAAAATTTTAAAACTTTATGCTTTCATGGTTTGGACTTTTTGCACTTTGCCTTCAACTTGGTTGTGCTTTCCTATAACATTTTTGATATTGTTTTCTCAAAAGTTTTAAAAAAGTTTCTTGAGGCAAAAAATAACTCAGTGTCAGTATTTCCCATTCTTGGTCTAATAAACAGTCTTGTTTCTTGTTCCTGTTATGAACTGTTCTGTTCTTCATCCTGTTATGCCTGTTGCTATGACTACAAGTTGACCCTGGCAGCAAAAATGAATCAATCTCTCATTTGTGCATCTAAGCACAAGCTGCTGCCTTCAGAATTGATAATCAGGAGTTAAGGAGGAGTGTAAAGTCAGGCCTGCAAAGCAGAGTCCTTACTATGGCTTTGGAATTGTCCACTTGTTTATGCCTCTTCTCATTTGGGTGTGTAGGAGAGTGTCTTTGGCAGAGATGCTGGTGTCTCCATGTGCTGTGATTGTGCCTGATGTTTGACATGCTGTACTGGTACCAGTAGGAATGTCACTGGGGGAGCTCAGAGCTGGCAGAGGCTACAAAATCCACTTGTGGAGCAGAATTTGAAAACTTTCACTTGCAAGTACAGTTACTGAGTCTATCAAGATTCTTTCCCTCTCTTTTTATAAGCTGTCTACCAGATGGTCTAACGTTTTTAGAAGCAGTACATTCCCACTGGAATCAGTGCAGCCGTAGCTGGAAATCAGTTGCTAAGGGAAATATTCACATGTGAATTTAGATAGGTGCATTTCACAGGTTTGGTCTATAATGTTTTTATATTACAACATTAGAAAAATCCCTTTTTGTTTCAAAATATACTCCTAAAAGGTATTTTCACTTATTTGCTCACTTCCCCCTTATATATTGATGACAGCTTTATGTAAAAATTAATTGTTGTTTCACAGGCACTAAAACAGGTAGAAGTAATTTTTGTTAAAATTTTTCTAGGCTGCTTTGAATGTCTTCTGAGAATTTCCAAGCTTCTCAGGGTTGATATCTCCTGGTCTCTGAAATATGATATATTGTTCTCTCATCCCATCAGAATATCGGAGATTCAGTTGTCAGTTTTGCTTTCTGTATTTGTATCAAATACAAATTTGTAAATACTTCTCCTTTAAGGTCTAAGTGTTCTTGATGGATTTGGCTTCTTTGGTTAGGTAGCCTCTCTTTATGAGGGACTACTTTGTCAGTCCCTGGAACAGCTATCTTCAAACAATTGCAGGTGCATAAACTGGCCTGTCAAGTGCTCTCCTGATGCATGGAGAGAATATGTTTGGTTCTCTGTCAGTCACCCAGCTGTTACCCTGTATGTGCCTGCCTGCATTAGAATACCTGCAGAAGTTGTAGTTTTAGACAACTAAAACCTTCAAAGAAATCAGCACTTGTACATTTCATGTACGTGGATGAAAAAACAATGATAGAAGAAGATTGAAACATGTAATTAGGAATTCCTAAGTCCTTTGCAGATCAAGAAGTCCCAAGGCAAAAAGATTTCAGAAATATCAGACTCCTCAAAGCTGGATTTGTGTTTAAAGAAGTTTTGCTGGTTGTTTGCAAACGAAAGCATATAAGAGGCTCCTTATCAAAACTTTTTTTGTTGGTCTTTCTTTACTGCTGAAAACCTTACCATGATGATTAAAAGGACAATCTGAAGGCAAAACAATCAGATTTCATCTTTTTATTTTGAAGCTGATCACTGATATCCAGGAGAAATGCATGATGAAAACAGCCACTCAGTCTGTTAGTGGACATATTTGCTCATGCCTTTTGTAAAATCAGCTCTATGTCTCCTGTATTGTCTCGGAGGCCTAACTTTTTGATGCCTACACTTCTGTTTGTGGCTAGAACAGTTTTTTGTCTTTAAGCTTCAACTTCTCCCCAGGCAGTGCCTGCCATGTGGTGAAAGTGTGTTTTCCACAAGCAGTGGGCACAGGCCGGGGAGGCTGCTGGGGAAAAACTGTTAGCTGCAGGATGGAAGCATGAATGAGATGCTATCAGCCACATGCAGAGGGTTTTTAATACCCTTGTTAATGCTGACTTCAGGTTAGGAGTTTTTCAGATAAAAGCTCAAGAATATGTATGGATTCCAAGATCAGCATATTTGCCCAGGATATGTTGTTATTGTTGCAGCCATTTCTTTGGGTTGCCAGATTGTGATACTGAGTTCTTCTGCTGCATTCTCCTGTCCCGAGGGACAAGTCCTGTGGGTATTGCTCCTTCAGACCCCTCTAAAGCATTTTACTGCATTCATTTACAGCTTCATATTTCATGAGTTAGAGAAAACTAATTAGGTCCCAAACGCACTTCAGATCCAAAGTCTTGGGGCGAGGGGATTTTCTCTTAAACATGAATTGCATTTTTACATTCTGATAGAGCCTGTGAGAAAGGTATATATGAGTTGCCCAGTGTCTATATAATTAATAATTTAGAAATATTTTATTATATTTATATATAATTTATAACTGAATAATTAAAACTGTATGCACTTTTACTACTAAAAGGAAGGCTGGAATTTGAAAAGCTATTTATTAGGCAGAGAATACAATGGAATTGTCAATAAAATGTCATCTTGCTGCCTCCAAAACCTCTCTTGGGTATAATTTGTTTTACATTGCCCAGCAAGCGACCTGCACATTTATTGTTTCAAAGCTTGCTTGACTTTGTTTTGTCTGCTGCTTATGCTGGGCAAAGCATGAGCCTACTATTTTTCAAGGACACCATGCTTTTTTTTTTTTCCCTAACAGGAAAAAAATACATGATTGTTTCCTTTCTTATGTTTGTCCATGGTTTTGATTATTTTTAACTGATTCTGCAGATATAATGATACTGTTCTTTTTGGAAAAATACATGATTGTTTCATTTCTTATGTTTGTCCATGGTTTTGATTTTTTTTTAACTGATTCTGCAGATATAATGATACTGTTCTTTTTTGGCCAGCTATATTGTTTTATCACAATGTTTCAAGGGAATCGGTAGTATTTTGACTTGTTGTCCCTTGTTTTTTTGAATTAAATGTTTTCATCAATAAATTTAGATTATATTTTGAGAATATCTACATTTCTTATGCTTCATTGCAAATTAATAACATTATGTGATAGTACAGCTTCATTTGGTAAGAGATTTGTTTAGATATTTAAATCTTATTTTAGCAACTTCTATAAATATTGTTAGAATGCAACAATAAGTGTGGTAACAAGTTTGTGAATATTTCTATCCATGTAATAGGTGTTTCCTAATGGTTTAATGATGGTTTAATTATGTTTTAGATATTATTGTCTAGAGAAAAAGTTGACTGGTTAAATCTGCTTTCTGATTTAATTATTCTAAAAGAATAGTGAAACTAGTTATCAGTTGTAGGAAGTGAAAGCCATTCCTCAAGTCAAGGTTGCAAACAAGTCTTTCTAGGTCCTACCCCAGGTCTGTAGCACAGGTAGGCTAAGGGAAAGAAGAGTGTAGAGGTGCTGTTTGAAAAGTCTTTGTAGCCTTTTTGAGTCTTCAAAAATCCAGGTTCCTTGTGAATCTTACTCTTAGTAGAACACTCACTTTCTGTTCAAAAAGGAACTGAAGTAGCTCAGAGGAACTTGACTAGAAAATATATGTCATTATAAAATATACATTATTTCACTAGATTTTTTAGTAATCAGCTAGCTCAGTTTACTTTTATATATGTTTGCTGCAAGACTTCTCTGTGAAAACTTATTTTCCTTCACTTAGTTCCCTTTACTGATTTAAAAATTCAGCATTTATTCTTAACTGGTTATTTGGGGACCCCTTAAAGGCATTAGCAGAAGTCAAAATAATTAATTGTTAAAAACTAAACAAGTAATTTTTTAAAACTAAATGTCTGAGTGTTAGGGGATTAAATATAAGGATGAGCTTGTCTCTTTTTTGTACCCAGTTCCTTCAGGTAAGTGTTCCTCGTTAGTGGTAATTAAAGAGACACCCTTCTTTCTTTCAAAATTCAGTTACCAGTAAACAAAATTATCAAATAAAAGTAGCTTATGAACCGTTATGTGGAAGAAAACATGAATGAAAACCTGGGGACCTTAAAAATTTAACAGCCATTTGTCAGGTCTTTTTGACCAGTGAGACATGATGGTGTGCTTTCAACCTGCAGCTTTCAGTCAGTGGGGGTGTACTAAAATGTGTGTGTTTTATCTTCAAATAGGCTAACCGACCTCCAGCAAAGCTCAATCTGTTAACCTGCCAAGTGAAAACAAACCCAGAGGAGAAAAAGTGTTTTGACCTCATATCACGTAGGTTTGTTATTCAGGTCTTTTTACTTGCAGCTCATAGCAGAATTTCACATTATTTCTGTAGATGTGTCAGTAATCCACTAGAACATTTTTGCCACTGTAGAATGCTTCCCATTATAAAATGCCCTTCCTATGACAATTTGACCTTTCAGTTATTTTAACATAATGCAACTAACTGTGCTTGTTTCTTTGGAAAACCACTTGTATTTAAAAGCTGTCTTCACTTCTTTTTTCTATTTAATTTTTTTGCTGTCTTACAGCACAGTAACTATTTTTTGCTATGACATCACTCTTCATACTAAAAATGTCTTAGCTCATCATCGTGAAAAGTTAAAACCTTTGCACAAGATCAAAAGGTGCTTGTTAAACTTTTTTAAATTTAAGTCTGGTGGTTGCTATGCAACTGTGAAGAAAATACGGAAACCATTTTTTGGTTTTCTTATCTCATAATAGAAAGGTGAGATAAAAAATCTGCATGTTAAACACACAAAAACAGAATAATTTTTGGATCAGAATGGGATGATATGAAATTGTGTACTAGAATGTTTCCTTTGTTTTCTAACTAAGATATTTTACTGAAATATGTATCACAAATTAGCTGGGGAGAAGAATACAAATGTATTCCTCATTTTTTCCTTTATTGAAGCATAGAGTTCTTCTGCACTTATAAATGTAAGCTGTGCTGCTTATGTGAATAGACTCAAATGTTTGTGTGAAACATAGAGCTAATTCATTTCTGCTCAAGTAACTGGGCTTCCCTGCTTGCTTTTGCACTTTGTTTCTTTGTTGATGACCGTGTCATGTTTTCCCCAGTATCAGCTTATTGCAATGTTACCACACACTTGAAAAGGCATAATTGGCCTCTTAGCCTTGTCCAGATTACTTTTTCACTTTGCTTTACTGTAGAGTTAAAAAAAATTCCTTGTTCTTTACAAAATGGAAATTGCTGTATCATGGCAAGATAAAAATCTCTTAATGGGGCACTTTCCTTTCTGTTCTTTCATATATCTTCACTGTCTTAATATTTTCCATGCTTGAAGCTATCTTTTAATACCTTTTAGCCTGAATATTTTTCAAACTTTAGAAATTTTCATCCTAGAATATATTTGCCTTTAGCTTTACCTCCATTGTTCTCATCAACTATTCTCACTCCAGCTCAGTCATTAAACTGTATCATATCTTATTCTTCATAAATGTACTATGTTTTTTCTTTAATAGTACGCTATAATAATAATGCTTAGAATAAGAAAAGTAGTAGTTAATTAAAAAATTGTGAGCTTGGTGTAATTGAAACAGATTGGGGCTCATGCTGGTTGTAGTTTGGACTTTGTGTCTGGCAGACTTTTTTTTAAGTTTATGATTATTGGGTTTTAAGAGCTCATTTGAGCTCTTTAAGTCTTTCTTACATACACAGATAAACTCAAATATGGACTGTATATTTTACTCCTCTCCCTCCCAGAAGAACTTTATACTTGTGATGGTGGAGGTTATATTCACAACATGGAGCATTTCCTTTGCTCTCCTGCTGCTTGTGTGATAAAAACACAGCACTGAAGAAAGCAGCTTCTGTTTAAAATGCAGCAAGCCACCCTATGTAAACACAGATGTAATCATACAGGAACTATAGGTAGTAAGGTGAAACTTCTTAAATGGACTTTTTGTCTCTCAACACACTCTAGTGATGAGAATAGAGTCCTCAGGAATCAATTAATTTTAGATTTCATTGAGAGATTTCTGCAAGATGAGTTTTTCAATAACTCTTTTTAATCAGCATGTGAATTATTTATTGTGCAGATGACAGAACATACCACTTTCAAGCAGAGGATGAACAGGAATGTCAAATGTGAGTTACTTTCTAATTTTGTTGTTGACACTGGTGGTCTACTGAGACTTACTTTGAACTTCAGAAGTGCCATAACACTTAATAGCAAAATATTGCTGCCATTTTAGATGGACATCTGTGCTACAAAACAGCAAAGAGGAAGCTTTAAATAATGCATTCAAAGGCGATGATAACACAGGAGAAAATAATATTGTCCAGGAACTGACAAAAGAAATTATATCTGAAGTCCAGAGGATGACTGGAAATGATGTTTGTTGTGACTGTGGAGCACAAGGTGACTCAATTAAGCATATTTCTAATTGGTAAAAATTCTTTGTCTTATGAGAATCTTTAAGCTAATGTTTTATACTTTCACTTTTACTCATTGTTTCACAAAAATTATGCACATAGTAGAATATGCTAACAATTTAATGGAACTACTTTAGTAAGATTGATTTGCTATATGCTTATTATCAGAGGGGAGAAAAGTTACTAAGAAGCTTGTTTTTCTCCCATGTATTTTGCTAATTGTAGCTTTTTCTTACATAAATCAAATGAACATACATAAAATATGGGCTAATAATGTAAGATTTAGGTAAAACTGAGAAGCCATAAGTTACTTGAACATTTTCTTAATACACGTTTTTTCTTTTTTCTTTTCTCGTCATGTTTGCTTAAGTGAGACAGGGAGTATGTCTAAGGCTATACTCATTTTGAGAGGAATTCTCCTGCTGACTGGTTTGCAGTGGTGTTTTCTATATCAATGAATTTCTGCTTTAACCCTCTTCAAATTATTTTTAAAATCCTGCTGTTTCTTGTGTTCTTTTATGTTGCAGGGGCACTGCAGGACTTAGTTTTTTGATGTAAAAGTGTAGCTGCAAACATCTGCTGGGATGCTGTATGCGCTTTACAAATCGATAGTAACTTCCAGCAATAAGTATTGTATAAGGCTATGGGAAGAGTCAAGCCTGCTGTCTTAAAAAAAAGAGTGCAAATGACAACTAACAAACCTTTATCAAACAAATTAATTGCTAAGCTGTCTAAATCTTCAGAAGTGAATTATTTGGCTGGAAGAGGCAAGAATGATGTAGTAAATGCAAAATACCAGGAGAAAAGACCACGAGGGCTATGAAAGGAGAGGGATGAGCCTTTGTGTCTTTGGAGCAGTTGAGTGAGAATCTTGTAGTGTCTGCCCTTCTCAATCACTTCTGCTTCACTTAGTTGAAAGTCTATATTTGAAGTACAAAAGAACCCCAACCCTGTAAACATTGTTATTTCAGTTTAAACTGCACCTGTATTCCCAGTTGAGAGTGTGACACCGTTATACTGGTGGTGGGAAAATGCAGTTCCTGAAAGTTGTTTGAAGAATGACAAACTAGATTGGTTAATGGGCTCTCTTGGATAGCAGTGTCTTTCACAAATATAAAATAAAAATTCTCCACTTCTTTCAGCATTAAAAAAGATCCCATTTTTATTCCCAGGTAGAGGAAATGTAAAGACATAAATTAAGAAAAAAAATTATAATTAATGTACAAGAATCTTATTTTACAGAATTTAATTCGTGTATTTTACATTTTCTAGGTGAAATAATTGCCTGAATAAATTTTAATTCTGTGGGTACCTTCTGTTTCAGATCCTACCTGGCTTTCAACAAATTTGGGAATTTTAACTTGCATTGAATGCTCAGGAATCCATAGAGAACTTGGTGTTCACTATTCCAGAATGCAGTCACTTACATTAGATGTGCTGGGAACATCTGAACTTCTGGTAATCAAATTGTTTTTATTAACTTAAAAACAGTATTGTAAAATACTAACATAAGTATATTTTTTGTCACTTTAGCAAGATGTTCTTATCCTGAAGTTGTCTCTGGATAAACACAATTTAAGAAAACTTAATTTTTGAACTTTATTGGAACCTTCTGGAACATAGCGTCCTACTATAAACTTTTTCTTATCTTAGAACTCCAATTAATAGAGGCTTCATATTTTTTGTGTTTTCAAATCTTTTTGTTCTGAGTTGCTTTTTAAAAGAATGCAGCTGTTTGACATATAAATGTACTTCAGATTAAAAATTGGAGGACTTCACAAATACTTAACCCATTAATTATTTAGTATTATTTTAGAAGAAAACTTTAATCTCCAAAGGAAGAAAATATATTCAGCTTTGCTACGTAAAGAAGTTACCAGTTATCAGCTGCTCCATGACAGTTTGTACATGTGTTCTTACCCAGCACAAAGTATTTGCATTCACTGTGTGAACTGGTGTCTTGATGGATTATTCTGCAATTATTTGTTCATGTACTGAATCCCAGTTGAAAATTCACATCCAAAAAAAGCCCTTAATCTGTTTGTTATTGCTGACATAGCAGCAGACCAAGGAATCAGAAATAAGAGGTCCCAACTCTCATTTTCCCTTGATCTCCCCTTGTTATCTGTGTAGCTAATAACTGAACATGTTTATTAATTGAGCTGTGGGATTTTGTTTTTTAACAGCTTGCAAAGAATATTGGGAATGCTGGATTTAATGAGATTATGGAATTCTGTCTTCCAGTTGATGAGATGGTCAAACCTAATCCAAGCAGTGATATGTAAGTAAAGAGCCACTACTACTGAGAAAGGCAGGCATTTCATTTAATATTGCTAAGGGGCTGTGCCATTATGGTTTGCACTAGCAGGCCATGGAAGATGTATAATATCTTATTTATGGTCTGAGGGCTGAGGAGTAAACCTTTCTTCTGATGCTTTGCATGTCTGTTTTATTGAGTTTTATCTGACTGTACTTACTCTAATAGTAAGGAATGTCTTACCAACTCTTTGAATCATGGTTTGTGGGAAAGAAACAAATTGACTTGTTGGGAACCTTAAAGTCATACAAGGATAGGGAAATCATGGTTTGTGGGAAAGAAACAAATTAACTGTGACTTGTTGGGAACCTTAAAGTCATACAAGGATAGGGATTAAAACCAAAGCAATTAATTTGGTGCTATTTGAAAACAAATAGAAATTGTAATAAAGTGCACATTTACTTGAAAGATACAGAACAGCATTTAGAAACGGTACCTAGGACCAAAGTCCATGTGGGATGAAGGCAGAACATTTAACTGAATTCCTCGAAAGCGCTGAACAGTGATGGCAGAGATACAGCAAGGACAGCTGCCTACTTGGCTGGGTACTACTCATCATGAAAGAGCTAGTAAACAATGCAGAAAAAAACCAGAAGAATTGGCTCTGGATGAAGCTGATTTTACATTACGTGTATTTTTAGCATTCTGACAAAACCAGTGTTAAACAAGGCAGTTTAGATAATATTTGACTACTACTATCAATAATTATGCAGAGTATTAATATTAATAATTTAAACTACTAATAATTTTACCATATGCTGAATCAATATAATAAGAACACTTCTAAAAATTTGTATTTAAAAAGATAATTTATTTTGATACCTCTGCTTATCAAATTTGGGGCTATTTTATTGAAATAAGAACCTGAATACTGTCAAATGCTTTATGAACAGAGTTATCCATTGATTCAATTTATTATTATTTATTGGGGTTTTATTACTTCTTGCCCATTACATAGTATCTAGATAATGAGGTATGACATTGTTAATTGTCATCTGTGCAATGCTGTCTTCATCTCAAGAGCTGGTAAGGTGTTATGCCTTTGGGAGGCAAGCAAGCTCCTGCCTTGCAGTGGTGGGAAGAGGAGTAGATGTGTTACTGGGCACCTACAGCAGAAGTGACAGCTTGTGCTGGGTTAGGTGGACAAGTTTTCATCTCGCTGTAGAAATGTCACTAAAAGGTCCAACACATCCTCCCTGTTACAGTTATGGTGAAGAGTTTAAAAAACATACTCACTGCTGCTGAGAGCGAATTCAAATTCAAGGCCTGGATAGTCTGTGCAGAAGTATAAGATGGTATAAGATAGATTTTTCTTTTTATTATCTTTTTTTTGTATCCCATGCCTTCCATCCCTTTCCAGCATGTGTAGGAGTACCAAGTCAGGTAGACATAAATCTGCAAGGTGACATAAACCTGCAAGGCAACATAAACCAACATCATAAAGCTCTGCTCTGATGTATCTGTACGTAGAGCTGGATAGCCTTGATCTCAATATCATCACAGAGTTTGGAGGAAGAAATTCGTGGTCCATCTTCATATTGGATATTTGATTCATTTTCTGTAACTACATTTCATACTTGAAATATGAGACTGCATAGTTACAACTGCAAGGCAACATAAACCAACATTATAAAGATTTGATGTATCTGTACAAAGAGCTGGATAGCCTTGATCTCAATATCATCACAGAGTTTGGAGGAAGAAATTCGTGGTCCATCTTCATATTGGATATTTGATTCATTTTCTGTAACTACATTTCATACTTGAAATATGAGACTGCATAGTTACATGCATATTTAAAAAGAAAAATTATCATAATGAATGATTTCAAATGACTTGCATGTATTTATGGAAATGCTAATGTGTATCTTCAGCTGAAAGTTATAGAAGTAAATCATATTCAATTTCAGGAATGCAAGAAAAGATTACATTACTGCCAAGTATATTGAGAGAAAATATGCAAGGAAGAAGCATGCAGACAATGCAGCTAAATTGCACGCTCTTTGTGAAGCAGTGAAATCAAGGGACATTCTTGGATTAGTCCAAGTGTATGCTGATGGTGTGGATCTCACAGAAAAAATTCCCCTGGCCAATGGCCATGTAAGTGTTGTAAATTTTATTAGACAAATTGTTATAAGTGCAATATGCATTCATTCATTCATTAAAAATTATTTGAAATAATATCTGAAACACTGTTCTGAATACATGTCGTTTTAATGATGTAATTTAACAATAAAAAATAAGATGCAAAATAGTTTAATCTAAAATTGTTTCCAAGTACTATCTTATTTTAAATTTATTAAAACATTAAACATTAAATAATTCAATAATCCATTAGTCTCCAACACATTTATTTATTTATTTACTTTAAGTCACTTTATTTATTTACAGTAAGTCTTCACAGATGTTTTAATAGTAGCATTTGAATATTTTGAAATTACATGTTTTATTTTATTTAATTAATGTTTTATTAAAATTTCTTTTTCTTCTTCAGAAGAAACAAATATCTTTTTTCATTTTATTCTTAGGAGCAAGATGAAACAGCACTGCACCTTGCTGTTAGATCAGTTGATCGAACATCCCTTCATATAGTTGACTTTTTAGTGCAGAACAGGTAACTATGGAAAGCTAAATACTGATGTTGCTTTTATGTAAAGTAATATAAATACTAAATAAATACAAATACTAAAGCTGCATTTGCAAATGTAATTTTGTTCTTTGAAAATGTTCTAATGAGAGTGGCTTAATAATATAGAGTAGGAAACTTATGTTTAATTACCTTTCTTCTTTCTTGTACTCCAAAAGTGGCAATCTAGATAAGCAAACCTGTAAAGGTAGCACAGCCCTGCATTATTGCTGTCTAACAGACAACGTTGAGTGCCTCAAACTGCTGCTGAGAGGGAAGGCTTCTATTGAAATAGGTAAAAGGGTAATGTGTACTTCAATTTCCTATTTGTCATTGCTTCAGATAAGAAACATTGAAGTTGGAATAAGTGCATTTTCTCCTCCATTGTTTATCACAATTCTGTAAATCTTCATTATTAGAGAATCAGTATTCACTGTTTATTTCAAGTTTTAAGTTGACATATATTACACTTAGTTTTTAAACGTTTAGATTTTTAATTGCTGTTTTGTTGTGAAGTTATATACTGCCATTTCATGGCTATCATTCATATGCATATCTGGCATGTTGAATTGCTACTGCTTGTTGTGTTCAGAGTGTTGTGTTGATGTGAGTTGGACCTACCTATAAAAGAAAGAGATGGGTTTTTGAGAGTGTTGCTCTAGTACTTTACTATAGTAATGGACATGTTAATAGTGACATCTCTCATCATACGTTTCTTTTTTTGCTGTAATATAGCAAATGAAGCAGGAGAGACACCACTTGATATAGCTAAACGTTTAAAACATACTCACTGTGAAGAGTTGGTGAGTATCATGTCATTCTGTGTGTGCATTTCATGTCTGATCATTTAACAGTTTACTGCTGAATTTTCAGTAAATATATTCCAGATGCAATAGTGGTGTAGTAGAAATAGTTATATCCTCAAAAATAGTCTTATATGCTCAAAAAATAGTCATAGCTTACATAAAGTTATATGCATTTAAGGACAAAACAATATTTTTCTTCAGATGTAAGGAAGTGGTTGAGTCATCTTTCCTGAAGGTATTCAGAAATGGTGTAGATGTGGCACTTAGGACTGTGGTTTACTGGTGGATGTGGTGGTTCTGGATTCATGGTTGGACTTCATGATTTTAGAGGTCTTTCCCAACCTAAATGATTCTATGAATCTAAGTGTCTGACATCTCCTTGAAATCTAAATACTAAAGTACTTTTTGTGAGTGAAGGCCATGGATGAGGGCCATTCTCCTGTTGCTCAGAGAAGTTGTGGATGCCCCATCATATTCGGGGGATCAAGGCTTCTTAATAAGTCACTTGGATTCAAGGAAACTGCCATTGCAGTTAATTTCTTTGAATTGCAACTTCTAAATCAAAGCAAATACAATGTGGTGCTTCTTATCAAAAAATGCAGAATGGATCTACCATAGTTAATGAAATGTCTAGTTACTTTTGGTTTATTTGTGTTGTATTTGGTAACACAGCTTAATTTAAATTTACTTCGGTGCAGTAACTTTCCAGATTGCTGAAATCAAGATTTTTCCTATTTGTGGACTTTGTTTGCTGTTAAATATGTTGTTTTAAAATAAGTACTGCCCATAATGTAAATGTCAACAACCATATTTTTTTTTTCCTTAGCTTACTCAAGCACTGTCTGGAAGATTTAATTCTCATGTTCATGTAGAATATGAATGGCGGTTACTTCATGAAGATCTGGATGAAAGTGATGATGATGTGGATGAAAAGCTACAGGTTTGTATCAATATTATTTTCTGTACACATGTATGTGTAAGTGTGATGTTCATAACTATTTCAATAACTGCTTTTCACTATAGGTATGAAGACACTGTGAAATAAATTTCTGTAGTAAAATGCAGTAGCTTAGATTTTTTTTCTGGAATTATAGTTGGTCTTCTTTTTCCTCTTAAAACATGATCATGTGGTGCCAAATTATAATTAGCCATGTCTTATATATTCTTTTCAGTCAAATCAATAGTTGGCTTCAAAATATCAGGAATATTTAGATCTGCTGATTGTGAAGCAGATCTAACATGAGCTGGGAAAATTGCCTTTTCAATGGAAGGCACCTCAGACTATCTTTTCATGTTTGTGAAATATCTCCAGTCAATAACTCTAACTTTAGAAGAGTTTATTCATTGTTTTGTCTTCAGGTGAACCTGTGCATTAAATAAGCTTCATCCATTAACAGCAGGGTAGGGTCTTAATTCTGAATCTTCACATCTAAAATATTTTTTTCATTTTCATATTTTTCATACCTGAAATGTCTAGTGGAGTTGTGGTACTTTTAGGTTCAGAATCACAGAATGGTTGGGGTTGGAAGTCTAACCTCCCTGCTACACCAGGATCACCTGGAGCCAGTTGCCCAGGACTGTGTCCAGGTGGTTTAAATGATGGTCATATTACAAAACATTTCAGTAGCACAGAAACTTCATTGCATTTTCAAAATTTAATTTCCCAGTTTAGGGAAGTTTAGGGCCCAACTTGAAAAAGTATTTATGCACCTAAACACACAGACAGGTAAAAAACTACTGTGTTTTGACACCTAAAAATGGCATGACTTTGTAGGGGACAAGTAATTTGAAATTATGTATAGGCTCCTAAATACTAATAACATCCTGAAACTTTCATAATTTGAAGTATTCCATATAAGTATTGAGTTTTTTACCTGTTTACTGGTTTTTTTCTACCTTTTTACACCTAAAAATGGCATGACTTTGTAGGGAACAAGTAATCTGAAATTATGTATAGGCTCCAAAATACTAATAACATCCTGAAACTTTCATAATTTGAAGTATTCCATATAAGTATTGAACAGGTTTTTGTTCTTTGTGTGTGTGTGGTGTTATTTTTGCTTATGCCCTTTCTGATTTCCTTATAAAGTACAAGGAATACTTGTACAAGGAATAATAGGCTTTATGTTAGTCTTCAGATGTTAGCACAACGTTTTTTGAAAGTAGCTAACCAAACCCCTTTCTCCTCTGAATAATGAAATTTTACTTTTTCTTTCTAGAAGCTTTAGCATTTTAATACTTCTCTTGCAAAATCCACCATCTCAACTAGGGCATGAATTGCTAACACTAAATTAATAACATAAAACCAAGTCTTATGTATTGGGGTTTTCTTTGTTTTCAGAAAGATTAAAACATGACAGAGGTTCATTTCCATTACTTTCATAGAATCTCTTTAAAATTGTTTGTTCATCAGACCATTAAATAGGCTTAAATGTTTTGGAGACTAATTTTGACATCAAGAATTCCTCTATTGCAAAATTACCATTTTTACACTACTGTGTGTGCATAGGGCTCTCTCCCCATGTCCTCTCTAGTCCAAGATAGCTGTTACCTCTGGTGCTTGACTTGAACTAATTTGCAATAGAAGGTGTCACAGGCCATTCCGTTCAAAGCACAATTTCTACCTTCTGAGACTCTTCTTGAGATTTTTTCTTAAAATTTTGGTATCTGTGGAAGAATCTGAAATCTGTGAGCTGCTAGATCCAGTTCTTCTGCATGAGCATACTCTATCCCCATATTTATGTATTCCTATATATTTTATCACCCTTCAGATAATAACAATAGTAATGATGATAATTTAGATAAAACAGATTGAAACCTTTAGAGGTCTCATGTTTTCCAGCTGTAAAAGATTTTGGTTATTTACAAATACAAATCCCTTTCTGGCATGATCTAAATTTGTTTTTGATCTGTTCTTGTCTTTCACTTTCTTCATTGTTGCCAGTTGCCTTCTGCAGTTGAGTGGGGTTTTTTTGACTAGTCCCTGAGCTCCATCTCATATAGGAAGGTTTCTGCTACTCAGCAGTGTGGCTAAAATGATGAAGCTCCTATTTCACTGCCCACTAGTAGTAGGTTTATACTGCAGGGACTTTTGAAAGGAGATTTAAGACTATTAATCACAGAGTCACAGTGTCTGTGACTACATTGTTCGCACGGGTGAGTACTGCTCTTGCTTAGGATCACATCAGAATTGTGTTTTAAAATGCCAAGCTATTGGATGTGTCTTGCTGGTAAGGTAATTGAATACATTTTGTAATCTATGTCAGAAAAGGTCATGTCTGAAGTTTAAGTTTTTTTATATATTTCATATATGAATATTTCAGAATATTTCATATAAGAGAGAGTCTAACCTAAAAGAATGTTGAGATAATTCATCTGCTGTTGTTGTACACCATGGCTGCCTCGGGTTTTGCCTCCATTCTGTCATACATTTGTCCCTGTACTGAACTGCTTCAGTTTGGTGAGCCAGTGAAAAGCTGAATCATAAACACAAAAAATAATTTCTGCTGGTTTAGAAAGCAGCTGAAACAAGTTCCAGAACTAGGACAATGGAGAGGTCAGGGAATGGAGAGTGTCAGCCAATAAGAAGTGAGGCTGCTAAGCCAAAGCAAGGGTAGGGACTATCATGTACATATTTCTGATAAATCTTGGAGCTATAATGCTGTGCTATAACATCTAAAGTCCCTACATGATGAATCCAGAAGTCATCATTGAATGTATTCAGAGGAAAATCTATTGCTTGTAAAATCATAAAAAGAATTTCTGCTGGTTTAGAAAGCAGCTGAAACAAGTTCCAGAACTAGGACAATGGAGAGGTCAGGGAATGGAGAGTGTCAGCCAATAAGAAGTGAGGCTGCTAAGCCAAAGCAAGGGTAGGGACTATCATGTACATATTTCTGATAAATCTTGGAGCTATAATGCTGTGCTATAACATCTAAAGTCCCTACATGATGAATCCAGAAGTAATCACTGAATGTATTCAGAGGAAAATCTATTGCTTGTTAGTGATACTGTTGATGTAAATCTTTATTCTGCCTAAATGCTATTACTATAAATTATTGTTTCAATTTCATACAGACAATATGTCAGTATGGCATGTTTGTCTAGCACTATTTCTGAAGGTATATATATACAGCTCTCTGGGCTGGGGATTGTTAAAGCCATTGCTGTACTACCCACATGAATTTGTTACTCCAGCTATTTTAATTATAATTTGATAATAGTAATGACTATGCTTGCTGTTTATGCTCTCTGGGCTGGGGATTGTTAAAGCCCATTGCTGTACTACCCACATGAATTTGTAACTCCAGCTATTTTAATTATAATTTGATAATAGTAATGACTATGCTTGCTGTTGAAGCAGGAAGAATAATGCTAAGTACAAATGATTGCTGTAAATCTCAAAACCAGCTAATCAGATACAATTCAATAATGTGTGTGGGATGAGCAATGTTCCATCCCATCTGCCAACTGAAGTAATCTCCCAAACCTATCCAGTAATACTAGTGAGCTAAAAAGAGTTTAAGAGAAGTTTTGGCTACCCATTTGTTGTAGGCTGAGCTGCAGGTAGAATACTTAGATGAAATCTTGTCTGGGTTTTGAGCTCATGATTTTCCATTTGGGACTTAGCTCTGCTGAACTTCAGATGAGGCTTAGGACCTACAGTTGTTTATTTAGTTTTGAAAATACTGTTGGGTATTTTGATGCAGGGAAACTTGATCCGGTCTGAAAATGTATACTGGTTATCTATAGAAGTTTGGTATTGTATATATAGGGATACAGTATTATCCTTATCCTGTAGCAGTGTACTACAGAAGGAATGAGAATATATTAATAGTTTTGAAGTGCCATTCACCTTAAATCTTTTGTTGTTGTTAGGTTGCATTGTTAGGGTGCACAGTTACTTTGTCTTGAAGAGGGCAGAATGTAGGATGTAGGTTATGTATTAAAAGCAACAAAAATGCTTTGTAGAAGATAGATTTTCTTTCTAGAAATGAATAACCTGTCAACTAATAAATAAAATGAGTACAACTAATGTGGTATCAATGAGTACTTTTTTTATTGTGTTAAAGCAACCCAGTCCCAACCGAAGAGAGGACAGGCCTGTCAGCTTCTACCAGCTTGGATCAAACCAACTTCAGCCTAATGTAGCATCCTTGGCAAGAGATGCAGCAAACATTGCTAAGGACAAGCAAAGAGGATTTATGCCAAGTATATTACAGAATGAAACATATGGAGCAATACTCAGTGGCAGTCCACCTCCCATTCAGCCTGCAGTACCTGTTACAAGTAGTGCACCTCCTCTACCTCCAAGGAATATTGGCAAAGGTACTAGAAAATATAATTGTATATTAGAAGAATAGGATCATAATTTTTTTTTAATTTTTTTTTAGCACAGGTTATTTAGCACAGGTAAGTATTGGAACAGTTATTGATGGCCTCATTTTAAATCCTTAAAGTGAATCTACATAACGTGTTCTGAGTTTGACTTTTGGTATATCTGCAAGACAGTACACAATAGTGTTTGGGAAACAATAGCCAGATAACCTCACCAGAGTTAAACCATTTATTAAAAGGATGGCTGCAGTCAATGTAGTTTGTCAATTTTTTTTGTTATATTCAATATTTTTGTACTTCTGTTTCTTGAAGATGTCATTGTCAGAGTTCACTGTAAAGATAAAATTTCGATAGCATTTGTGTGCTGTAAAAATTTGTTTAAGACCTCAGAGAATGGTGACTGTATGCAGAACATGAGATTTTAACCTTGCAATTTTTTCTCTTAATAAATACATGCTTCAGGGTTTTTGAAATAAAAGTGTAAGTGTCATGATGTGGAGAACTGGATGATTTTGGTGACCTAATAGCTGACTGAAAATCCAGCTGCCAATTACTGATTGTCCCTAGATCATTAGAACAGTGTAAAAGTATGTGTCCCATCCTGATTCAGAGGGTTGTGTGCTTGCAAAATCTGCCATTAAAGCTGGTGCTGTGAACTTCATTCTTATCTTCATATGTAATCTGTTTGCACCACAGTAAAGAAACAGAGAGAAATCTGTATAGGTCCTCTTAGTACAGGTCATATTCAATGTGTTTCATTGTTTTAATACCTTTATTATCCACCATCTTTCATGGAGGCTAAATTTATGTATTCAATTCAAGAAAAGTTACTATTAAACACATGGTTTTTTATGGTGCTGTATTCAGACTCTGTAAGAGAAGATATGATCAGGAAATGTTCTGGGCACACATGGGTGGCTTCTGCCTTTGGGAGCACTGTGCAGAGGTCAGAATGCAGGACTCCACGCACCAGTGATTGTGCCTGAGATGACAAACTGCTCTTCTGTGTAATATGAAACATCAGTTATGGATAACATGGCTACATAAAAGGGGCAGAAAAACTGAGAAGAGAAAAGTGTGTTACTTGGAAGGGGTAGCATGGGACTGGGGGAACATTGGTCACATGTAAAACTTAACCAAGGTGGGATTGCTTTAATATTTCACATGAACTCTAAGCTTAATATCTAAACAACATTTTTTACTTGATGGAAAAGAATGTCTTCCCCACCACACAGGAAAATTGACAGCAGGAACTTGCCTCATTTGTTTAACTGTTAGATTCTATCTCTGAATTAGTGATACAATTGAATAGTTAAAAAGACTGTTTTATCCTTTGATATTATTTTAATCATGGCAAATCTTACCCACAGTTTGCCCTTGATTAAATGACACATTTCAAGAAGTGTCATTTTAATTTCATTCTCAAGCCCAGCCTTCTTGGCATCACTGTAATAGAACTCATGCCATGAAGACATGCTTCCTGCCTTTGATTATTAGCTCATATTCTTTACTCTAGCAGTGTATTAGCTTATTAATTTATATACTTAGTTAAAAGCTATAATGATATCATTGACCATAGCTTCTTGTCAATTGTTGATGTTGTTAATGTTATGCTTATGGTGTATTATTGCTCCTTTATCCTCATAGCTTTAGGCTGTTTTCCAAGTCTTCTGAGCCTTTTATGCTTTTCCCTGCAACCTAATACTTGTTCATACCTAACTCTGTTTCATCTTTTCTTAATATGATACTCATGTGCTCAGTAGGGAGAAACTGCATAATATGTGCAAAATACTGGCTTTATAAAGAAAACCTGTAGAGTGTTTTTATGAGAAGAGGAGGCAGCTCTTCAGAATGAAGTCATTTAAGAGGCTCTGAAGAAGTACTTTTTGACTGTTTCACAACTAGTTATTATAGTTTCTTGCTTGAGTGAAATTCAGGTTTACAGTTTTATTTTGTTTCTAAGTCAAAACTGATGTTTCACTTTGAGGTAGAAATGAATGCTCATGGAAGAGTGAGGTCCTTTTCTTGCAGTATGTGAGAAAATTACAGTTATCAGCCAGGGATTAAAGAAGGTGGCAACACATGCCTTCTACCTTCTTACTGAGAAATCTGCCTTTTCAAATATTGACATATTTTAAAGTAATGACTGGAGACAGATTTTGTTTAGGTAAAGTGTTAGAAGTTTCTGGGTGAAGTCTTGCTGTGTAATTTTTAACACCAGACTGATTTCTGCTCTGGCATTCCTTCAGGATGCAGTGACTAGAGTTGATGAATGTAGTGTTGCTGGATATAGTGGTCTAGCCACACCATTTTTGAAAGCACGGGTGTGAATATTAACACTTTGTGCTTAGGGTAAGCAATAATAATAATGCAGTATTTTCCTTTCTTTTTAGTTCAGCCTTCAGTTCTTGGCAGTGGTATTCAGACAATTTCTTCATCTAATGCAATGTGGAAGACAAATTCTTTAGGAGTGGAAAGTATAAGCAGGCAAAGGTCTTCATCAGATCCACCAGCTATTCATCCCCCTGTGCCGCCATTGCGTGTAACATCTACAAGTATGTTTCCACTTTCCCCTGTTTTCCCTTCTACTGTATCTAATCACAGTTGGCTTATTTTTCCATTTCCACAACTCATACTTCCTCTTTTGGTGACTGTAGCTTTGGCCTATCGTTCCCATCCAGTAACAAACTGTCTTCTCTGATGCTCCAGTGAGGACTGTATGGCGTAGTGCAGGGTCAGCAAGAAACACCATACAGCTAAAGGGTTCATAATTTTATATATATATTTATCTATATAGTTTTAGTGCTGCATTTCTTACTAGTTGTAAAGGTGAGTGTTATGTGTCAGCCTGGGGCTGTCTCTCCACATTGTGCTTGATTCTTGTAGACCACTGGAATGCAAAAGGATGTTTTAATTCGTTGCCAGCTGCTGTTGTGGTGATTTTAAGAATTCAATAGCAATTTTAATTACTTGCTAAACCTAGTCTGCTGTTAGTTGTGAATCACAACAAGGTTTTAAGAAAAGATGTTCCTCTAAATAAAATTTGCCAGATATAACTCACTTGGTTACTTTTCCATAAAACACAGACTGAAGGCATTGACTGAACAAATAATATTAGCACTTTAAAAAATGTGTTATGATCTACTGTTTTCAAGAATGTGACTGACTTCAGTAACAATTTTCTTTGCTTGCACTTCAATGCTTGAATAAATTGAAGTGCTTGTGAGGTCTCCAATTTGACTACGTGAAACAAAAGGTAAACCATTTTCCGAAGAGGTCCTCCTTCCATTACATGTAGTAAAGCATTTTTCTTACATAAGTCCTGTAACAGGGGAGGCTGTAATGAGAACCCAAGAAATGAAATGGTAAATAGAAATTTAATTCCATGTTTCTGTCTAACTTTCCTATATAGATGTACTTTCTCCAGCACCACCACCTCCAGTGGCAAAGACAGCCAGCATTATCGAAGCTCTGAACCAGCAATCAAAACAGCAGCCAGCTCCTCCACAAAACAAGCCAACCCCACCACCACTGCCCCCACAACCTCCTAGCAGAATCTCTCAGAGAAAGCCTATTCCTGGGTAACTGATGTCATTTTAGTCTTTAATATACTTCATCATTTTTAGTAACTTAATATATCTATAACATGCAATCATCAATAAAGCATGCATGCTTTTGCCAGTGATGTGTTCTAGAGTGTGGGAATGAACAGAAGGCAGATGCTAAGGACGTAGGTGATTACTGCAGCAATCAAGGATTACTACAGTAGAAAAAACACAGCCTAATGATTTAAGGTTATATGACTTGCAGAATATCTCCAGAATGCCTAGCTGTGATGGAGATAAAAAACCATAAAAAATACTCAATTCCTTATTCTCATCTAGTAGCAAATAGGAGATAATGGGATCTAATGTCTGATTGTGCCATTTATTGTTCATGTGCTTTACATAAGTTCTGTTCCACTGAATCTTTCCATTTGTGGCAGAAGTACAGAGACCTGGAAAAGAAAAAAAAAAGCTTTTAAATTTGCAGAAAAATAAGTTAGGAAGGACATATGCACTGGAAAACAGGATCATATCCAAAGCATCCTTGAGAAACTGAAGGAGTAGTCAAGGGAAAAGAAGGGTGTCATTCAGTAAGCAACCTTAGTAATTAAGATCAACTACAGGGATGAAGCATGGAGAATAGCAGAGTATGAGTAAGCAAAAGTCCTTAGAAGAAGGATCTGTAAGGACGTTGTAAGTAAGGCAGATGACCTAGTGCTGTTGTGGAAGAGTTAGAATATAGTTTTAACTTAGCCTGCAAACAATAGGAATTAATTCTCTCAATTGTCTCAACATCAGTGGTGCCTCAGCAGGACTGCTGTGTTCATTTTGGGGCATTGCAGTAAAATGAAATACTGAGGTGGGAACCAGGGGAGATCAATAAGGTAATGAGAAGTCTAGAAAATAGGGCCTTTGAGCAAATTTTGGAAGAAGTAAGGTTTCATTTGCAAATTGGGACTGAAAGATGAAAGCAAACTTGACCCTTAAGCTCCTTTCTAGCCCTTTTTTTACATGTACCATAGTACCTAAAAGTAGACACATATTGTTGAAGCTTTCTATAATGTACAGACTAATATGGATGCATAATTTTAAGAAAAAAAATAAAATAACAGTGAAAGGAACTTCAGATTTCGGGAAAAGACATGAATTGCAATAATCAAACCTGTATTATTTTTCTGCCTTTTTTAAAATGAGGTGCAACTTTCAATTCACTTAATCAAAAATACAGAAGAAAAGTAGTACTTTTAAAAACAAAATAGCTGTCACCAGATTTTACTGAAGACATGCCAAGATTTTTATAATTTGGAAAGTATTCTGTGTTGTTGCTTTTTGAGTTCTTGTTTGTTTCTGAAATGGACCAATTTCTCACTTTCTGCACAGGACTGAGAAGTCATCTGGCTTAACTAACAAAGGGCAGACCAGAGGACTTGGGTCTCTACAACAACCTGGTAATTGTGGTTTAGAGATTTATTTTATTATAGTTAAGCTGTCATAATCAATCAAAGGGAGAGTGTGGGTTTGTTGAGGTTTTCTTTTATCTCTTAATTTACCTTATACATTTAAATATAATCAGTGCCAACATTGTTCTTGTTCCTCTTTGTGATTGTGTAGGCCCTGATGCCTCAAGTTCTTTAGCATGAGCAGAGCTATGGGCCAAATAAAGTCAATAATGGGACCATGTAATAAACATGATCACAGAATGGTTGATGTTGGAAGGGACATCCACAGGTTATTTGGTCTAACCCTTCCCTGAAGAAGGGACAGCAAGAGTGGATCATCCACGACTGTGCCCAGAGAATGGAGACTCCACAACCTCTCTGGGCAACCTGTGCCATTACTGTGTCACCCCACAGTGACAAAGTGTTTCCTGACGTTCAGACAGAGGCTCCTCTGTTTCAGTTTGTGTCCACTGCCTCTGGTCCTGCTTTTCAGCCAGGTGGCCACCAACATATATTGGTGTGTGGCTTGTTCATTCCCAGGTGCAGGACTTTGTACTTCATTGCTCCAGATTCTTCCCAGATGTCTGGACCAGGTTTCCTGAAGACCTGTCTTGCTAGTACAGGCTAAGGCCGAGAAGGCATTCAGTAGCTCAGCATTTTCCATGTACTTTATAATGAGAATCTCATCTTCTTCAACAATGGGTTCACATATTCTCTAATTTTTCTTTTGTTACCTATGGATTTATAGAAGCCCTTCTTGTTATCTTCGACGTTCTTTGTCAGATTCAATTCCAGCTAGGCTTTAGCTTTCCTAACCTCACTTTAAAACCCAGTCAAACAAAGGAAGCATTTTGAAAATTTTTGTTTGCACTGTTGTTTGTATATGTCATAAACAAGGTGTCAGATAGACATTTTAGAATAGAAGAATGTGTTTCTGGCTTGAAAATCCAGAGCTTATATAGTGTCACTTTTAATTATATTGCAAATTGATATTGCTCTTTTCATGTTAATAAACAGACTACATTATTCAGAGTTCATTATTCATTTTGTGGTTTTGTTGTTCAAAGTAACTACTACTTTGGGACATGGCAATAATGTAATCTCCATAAAATCTCTACAGTGAAGTTTGTGCAGATTCTGTGGTGGTTGTAGCGGAATTTCTCCTATCTTGTTTGCCCTTCTACTGTATATTTTATATTCATTCGTTATTACTGTGATTTTTTTTCATTTTCTCTTGACATATCCCAGAGGAATTTGCTAATGGCTGTCTGCCATATGTGTCAGGAGTCTCTTGTGAAGGATACAGCACCCTGATAATGATGGTCTTTACTAGGAAAGAAAGGTTCTAACAGCATACAGTCTGTAGTGATGGAAAGGGGGAATGGGATATTTGGTTCTGCCCTCATCTATTTTATCTCTCTTATCATATCTGTTTAATGTCTTAGGTAGTTGTCTTTGGGAAAAGTGGCTTTTTTGGTAAGGAAAAGGATAGAATTCTGTTTCATTATTTAGAAAGAACCAGTAAAAATTAAATACTCATGGGATAGAAAATTATTTATATGCTTTTAAGAATAATTGGTTTGGTTTCAATTTATACCATCACTCTTACTTTTTTTGAAAGCATGCCTAATATTTACTTGATTTATTTACTTTAGCAGGAGAGTCATCTTCTGTATGTGACATTCCAGGAACACAGACTGGTTCTACAGCAAATACTTTGGCACAAATCCAGCCACCAGCACCAATGCCAAGGAAATCACAAATAGTAAGTACAAAATGTGGCGTTTGATTTTATTCATCTTCTGCATTCTATCAAACACATTGTCGACATGATAGTGTGTCCTGCCATGGTAAAAGTGTGAGAGCCATGAAACATATAAGGCCTGTATCCTGTGTTAAGTATCTGTGTGACTTGTACTAAATAGTTACGAAAACTTTTCATCCTTGAATTTCCTATAGGATGGTATGTGATTTTAAGTTTAAAAATGGCAAACCAAACCAGTTTGATTCTTTGTTCATGTCCAGATGTGACCAACACAATCCACAGAATTAGGGCTGGACTTACTGGAGATAGATAAGCTTTATGAGTTAGTGACTTGTAGGTGAGCTTGGTGAGTCACTTCTAACGTGGCTTCATTTTCAGTCTTCAGTGAAGTAAGCTATAAGGGAACTCTTGTGATTTTATAATGGACACAGATATACTGGCAGTTGTTCATGTAGGTAGGTGAAATGACTTCAAACAAGAGTAGCAGGAATCAAACTCAAAACAAAAGAAACTCTTTGTGCTGTCAGTTCTCAGCATTCACCTGGTGACAGGAGAGAAATCTCTTGGTAAGCATATCCCCTGCAGAAGGTGGTTAATTCTATATTTTTCTTCTCCACCCTCCCCTAGCCTTACAGTGACTATTAGAAAAGAGATACTGGATTTAGATGGACTCTTGATCTGATTGTGTGGCCTTTTTATACTCTTTACTTATTTTTAATCTAGGACCATGAATAGTAACACATGTTAGTGTCAGTACCTGTGATCATATACTGGTGTAGGTAAAGACCTGTTTCCAGATGTCAGAGGAGCTGTACATTATGTGTAGTTAACTTGGTCTTTGGTCCTTGCTTCAATTTTATGTTGCTTTCTTGTGTGACAGATGTAAAAGATCCAAATCCTTGATCATGACAGTGTATCTCTGCAGGAAGCAAATCACAATATGTAGAGCCCTTACATTTCCCAGGTGCTGTGTGCGAGTGGGTCTGGGCTGCTTCACACATTCTGTGCAGGAGTGTGGTTCAGTAGTGAATAATAAGCAGAGAGGTAGGAGACCTGCTCTTCTGGGCTCTGCAATGGTCTTGTTAATGCTTGTAATGGAAACACCCACTTCCTTCAGTCCCTGTCTCTCTCCCTTCAACCATTTTTCCTTAACCATGTCCACTGAAATAGCAGCTCTCCAGGACAGAGTTTGGTGTGTTTGGTCTGTATTTAATTTTTACTGGTTCTTTCTCATAGCCTTGCCATTGGTCTTGAGCACACAGGGCCCAAAAGTTACCTGTTTCTCATCTGATAATGATGAGAAACCTCAGAGACATCATCTTGCATTAGTTGGGAGTATAAAATTTTCTGGTTTCTTGCCTCCTCCACTCTTGTTCAACCAAGTCACAGTCCATCTTGCATTAAAATAACCTTCATTTTTTAGGCCACAAAAAATTAAATGGTCTAAGTAGTGAAATTGCATATTAACTTTGTGAAGCTACTGAACTCTGATCTTAATTTCTGTTGTGTGTGCTGGGATTCAAGTGTAAGTACTGGTTACACCCTTCCAGCACATCTGAAACAACTCCTAACCTGACACCTGACTTTCTGTATAATTGAAGTATAAATTTATTTTTTAGATAGGACAAAGTGATTTAGCTATGAAGGAACTAGTGCTGGCTAGTTTGGGGTCAGTGTCTTGAATGTTTAATGTTAATTGCACATAATATGAAGAACATATCTGACTCTCCAGCTGTCTCTAGGTCTTCATTAAGGTGAATTCTGTCACTGAGCAAATCAGCTGGGTGATTTTCTTCTGTCACAGGACAGAGAAGTAAGGGAAAACCTGACTCAGGAGTGTGTGCTAGTTAAGATGCTTTAGCTAAATTAATCTAGCTAAAGCATCTTAGCTGAGATTTAGTCAAGGGCCCCTCAGCTAAAGAGCTTTAGCTAGACTGATCTAGCTAAAGTTCTTTGGCTAAATTGCTCCATTTAGCCTTATACTCCTGGCTTTTTTGCTATGTCTTTACCCTGCCAGGGAATCCAGAGGCCAGCCCAAGTTTAGAAAATGAATGCAGAATGCCCCTTGAGTAAAGAAAAGACAGGTCTAGTACATGCACATTTAGCCAGTGGCTTATCTCCTACACAGTGCATTTACCTGATAGCCTGTTTATTAGGTGGAAATTCCTGATTCACCTTTTGATTTCTTTTTTTTCCTCAATGTGATATTTAGATTTTTGAAACCATTTTGTAGATACATGGGAAATTTCCCTAGAAGACTTCATTCCTCTGGGAATGAGATCTATTTTAATTTCCTTGCCTTCTAAAGAACAAGAAATACCTGTAATTACTGCACTTTGAAGTTAGTAATTATATCACTCTTGTACTGATGTGAAGCTTTTCCCTTTTGACCTGAAAGGTGGTTGTGGTTCAGACTGTCATTTGTCTGAGAGGGATCGTCTGGAAAAATTGCTGTGCTGCAGTGCCAGGCTGGCAGCTCACAGGGATGAGAGAGCCTCAGGGTGTGCCTGCCCTGGGCAGGCCACAGCTTTATTTTTATTAGAATTGATATAGAATTTATACTAGAATGCAAATGAATGCTTCTAGAGGAGCATAACAATCATGCTGCCTCCATCCTTCCCCATCCACATTGTGCTCAGCTCTAGCACAATGGCACAATAAGAGACCACTGGGCAGCTCTGTCCTCAGCAGAGCATTTTGCTGATGGAGAAAATGAGAGTTGTAAACGGGGTCTCTTGTTCCTTTTCAAGCTGTCTGCTCCATGGCTGACCTAACTAGAGACTGGGACCAGGCACTGGGGGAATTCCAGTATGGTGATGAGGCCATCTTTTCCTTATGCCATGTGGAACTTCTGTCCCAAACAGCCACTGCATTAACAGCCATCTCAGACCTAAATGGCACTGACACCTCTGCTCTGACACTTGAGGGTAGAAAGGAGAGATTTTTGCTCCCTATGGCTGGGAAAAGGCTGGACTCATGATGGAAAGCTTTACACTCTGCCTCCAGCTCTTGAGCACCTTCACTTGTTGGGTTGTTTTGCATGGAAATGCTGTGTAGGCAGCATTATTGTTGGTCTGCAACAGAGAATGGAGAGGCTGAAAAGAAATGCAGCAGCAGACTGGTTTGCACTGGAAAAGGTGTGGGATGAAAACCAGAGCGAAACAATTTTGGTATCACTGCACAGAACATAGCTAGGACTGAGTCCCACTGCCATGCTGGAATATTGCAACTCCTTACTAAACTTTACCTTTGAAAGAGCTGCCAAAGGACTCCTGTGGCTGGCGGTCCTCAGAGCACTGCTGGGAGGCAGAGGATATTTTGCTGGGTTCTTGCACCACTGAATAGGGTTTAGCAAATTGAGAAGGAGAGTGTTGGCACGTGGCTCAGGCCTCCCTCTGATAATGCTGCTGCTGGTACATTTGCACAGAATCTGATCACCCCATCCTCTGAACAAAATCATGCTCACTGCAGTGATGTAGAGCTCTGAAGACAGAGGGTGAGCCCTCTGTAGGTGTGGGTGAGTCAAAATGGAGAATTTGGCTCACTCAAAACATGGCTTATGTTACTGGCACAGTGGCTCCAAAAAGCTTTGGGTGGTGCCAGATTCAGCCTGAAGCATGAAAGACATAGCTGAACTCTAACCTATGAAAAACAGCAGTTCTGAAACTTTCTTTAAAAAACTCCAAGTCTACTCTGTCTCTTCTGTGCTGTATTATTTACCTTCAGGGTTTGTGGTTTGTTTTTTTTTCAGTCAAAAACTAAACCCAAGAGAGTAAAAGCAATTTACAACTGTGTAGCAGATAACCCAGATGAGCTGACTTTTGCAGAGGGAGATATTATTGTAGTTGATGGTGAAGAAGATCAGGAGTGGTGGGTGAGTATTTTGCATTTTCTGTCAACACACTTTGAAAGAAAGAAATTAAATCTTAGAGGTTGATACTCACTTTGGAAGATCCCCTGCTGGGTTTTCAAATAACAAGAATAGTTTCATCTCATGGAAACTAGAGATGAAATTTCAAAAGTCAAACTTCAGACAAGCTTTTAGCTTTTCTCACTCAGGGAAAAAAAAAATAAATTTAAAAAGTATGAATGTATATATACATATATATAATCAGCAGGGTTCACAATACACTGGGGATGGTCTCTGTGATCCAGAAAAATTTTGGTGGAGTGTCAGCAATTTAAGAATCTGCTATTACAGGTGTATGTAGTGGGTTTCTGTCCTGGTCTGGGACAAACTTGGAAGAGTTCCAAAGGGATGTTCCCTAAAGGGCAGAATTCAGTGGCCCTTCACCCTGCCTGTTTGGTTGATAAGCCTCTTTCAAGAAAAGTGGAAAAAACAGTTTATTTAGCAAGCAAAGTACTCACAGACATGAGAAAATGAATAATATTAAACAATGGAACCTCTCATTGTTCTGAAGGGACAGCAGAGGGTCCGTTTTGTGAGGTGTAGCTCAGCTCGCTCAGTCTCTTGTCAGTCCCTCCTGTGCTGGAAATGCCATGTCCCAGGCCCCAGTGGGCCACAGGCCTGAGCTCACGGTGTTTTCTGGCTTTTTGGTCCAAAGCAGGGCTGAACAGTTCCAAGAAAAAGAAAAGCCACAGTCCAGGGAACTTGTCTGCCTCAGCTAGCTAAAACTAACTGAAAGCAAAGGAGAGCTCTGTCCCACCCACTGTGCTGCAGGCAACATGCACCAAGAGAGAGAGCTGAAGCTCTTATCTCTGAGTTTTGAATACAGTCTCCTTAGACATTCCACTGATTCTCCTTCTGCCTCCCTTAGCTCTCAGATCTAGTTTTAAAGGTACAGGTCTTATTTCTGGGCTAAACAGACAGATGGGGATACAAATACAATACAGCATCCTAAAGTCACTCCAGGACAGCATCAGAGGAGAGCTTTGTATTGTCCTCAGTCTTCAGATGACTAGAACTGAGTCTATTTGAGCTGGGAAACCATCTCAAGTTTTTACATTGCAGAGTCTTATTGGCTAAAGCAAAATCTTGGAAAAGTCTTGTGCATGAAAACACTTGCCTTAATCTGTTAGCAAGCTCTGTTCTAGTGAAGAACAGGGCTTCAGATTGCATCTAAATTGACAATAATGCTGTATAAACAAAACTGTTGAAGCTTGATTCATCCTTTTGCCTCACAGTGATGGTTAAAGAAACAACTCAACAGAGGCCAAATGTGGGCTGCCAGGCATTACAGATTGCATTGGTATTATGCAGCAGTGGTACTGCAGTAAGATGTTGTATATTCAAAGAACTGGATAAAACTTTTGCATTTGACAAAAACCCAACCTACAGCTGAAATACATGCAGCCAGTATTTCCTATTGGTAGAAGAAAACTAGCACTACCACAGAAAATATTTGGTGGGAGGCTTGTACTACAGGCAAGAAGGTTGCTGGTATTCATTTTGGTGATGCTGAAATGTTGTTTTGAGATTTAACTTGAAAAATATCTGGACTCTTTCAGATTGGTCATATTGATGGAGATCCCAGTCGGAAAGGAGCTTTCCCTGTATCATTTGTGCACTTTATTGTTGACTAGATTGCTACTGATAAGTGGAGACATTTCTCATTTCCAGCAGTCACAGAAATAAGTTTTGTTCTGTTTCATTTCACCTACCTATCCGCAGCCGCCTTGTCAGAGCACTGCCCAAGTCCTAGGTACTGTAGCTTACTTTTTTATTGCCATTGTTCTGGTTTGGGGACTTTTTAACTTTTTTCTACGTGAAAACTTCTCATAAGCAGTTTACACTTTTAAAAAGAAACAACTCTTCCTGTATTTTTCAAGGTGAACTGAAAAGCTTTAACAATCAAAATCCACGTGTCTGAATATCACATTATGAATGTTCTTATCGATCAATTTAATTTTATTCTCCCTTTTGTAACATGACAGTACAACTGTTCAGTGTTGCTTCCCCAGTTAAAGAAATTGTGTGTGCATCTACCAGGGCAGTGAACTTACCCAGTTCTTGACACCATTTGAAGTGTTGGAACCAAAACATGCAAGCTGTTGTGTAGTTCTAAAATGGACTTATTCAGTAGCTTGCCAAACTGGCTGTCATCAAGGATGCCAACAGTTGCAGAAGAAATTGTTTTAATTATGTGTCTTTGGCCAGGTGAAAGCAAAAAAGTACTTCATTTTACCACAGGAGAAACTTCTTTCTTTCAGAATGGATGTAGATATTTGCTTAAAGTTATCTGAAATCTGTGTTAGTCGTTGAACTTTCTAGTTCTAATTTTGTGAGCTTGAGACTGTTTTGTTTTTCTATGCTGCATGTGTGTAGAACCTGTTTTTTGAATGTTCTTTATGTATGTTACATCCATTTTGGTCATTTAATGTGACTACTGCTGGTTAACTAAACTATGGCAATATTAATGAGTTACTACATTAACTCAAGGATTTGAAAACTGCACTTCCTGAAATGTACTTAACTATGATGATGGATTGCAGAACATTTCTTATGCTTGTCTCATTACAGCATTAAGTCTTTAAGTTCTTGAATTTTCTTTAAATCATCCAGCAATGTGTTCACAGAAAGAACATATTTGGTGGAACATGTAGGTAATTATCCTTGGTCAATAAGATACCTGACACCTCACAAGTTCACTACGTTATGTTCTGGTTTATGAAATTTGTGTGCCACTACCTTGCAAACAATGACAGTTTGCCAACTCACTCTGTATTTATATAGAATACCCACATATATGGTAGCTACACTGTTGTTAAACTTGTCTTGCTGATTTGTGAACAAAAGCTAGGCCATGGATAGTTCCCAGTTGGTTGATGGAATTTAAAACACCAATACAGATCTGACATCATTTTGATGTTTGTGTATTGTGAAATTGTACCAGATTTTGCTTATGCTACAGGAAACAACTGAGGCATAGGATACAGAAAATCAATATCTAGGTCACATTGGCTTTGATCACGTTATGTGAACATTGTATCTCTAGATTTATCAAGAGAGCTTTGAATTTCTGGCAAATGGTGCTTAAATTGGCCATTTCATATTGGAAGGAATGGAAAACAGGCCACGACCACCATCTGTGCTTATTTGGAGAAAAACCACGTTGTGAAAATGCTGGAAGAGCAACACTGATCTCCCCGTGTCACCCTTCCTGAATGGTACCGTTGGTTGATGCCTCGGGCGTGTGGGTACAGCCACGTAGATGTGTAACTTTCACTTCCTAGATGCTGTTGCTGCAGTATAAATGGGGAACAAACTGGAATGTTTCAAGATATTTTTATTGCAAGTTGAAGCAAATTAGTCTGTATTTTCAAAGTTGGCAGTAAAATGATAGAGTAATAGTTTAGCACTACAGTTTTATTCACTTACTGATATGTTCAGTTTGCAACACTATTTTGTATGTTTCTATCCCTGATAGAGTCTAGAGAGTAAATGGCATATTATTTTGCACAGATCTCCTAATGTACAGTATTTTTAACACAGAATCTTATAGTGTATGTAACAATTCGTAACATTAAAAAATGATACAAATTTCCCTTGAGTTCTGCTAGAAGAGGAATAGAGTAAAATGTCACAACTTCGTTCACCGGTTACATAAAACCCAGGAAACTTGTAGACTACAATTTAATAGCACTAACAGTGCAGACAGGTAAAATCCCAAGGACCAATAAAGAGCAGCTAAGCAAAATTTATCCCTTGATTTTCTGAGTTTCTGAAAAGGTTTTCTCCTCTGGCAGAGAAAAATGAAATTCTAGAGCCTGTAGATATCTATTTATAATATGAAATTAAGAATTTTAAGTCCAAAATTTTGGCATATTTCATACAACTTTTCAAATCTGATTCAAAAAATCTGTTAATAGACAGACTATTAGGTTGCTGTGTTAACTGTTTAAAAAGGAGCAAGTGACACTTAAAATGCAGCTTAGAATGCTATGAGATGTATAATATTCAATTCAGTTGTTTTTATTTTGTTTAGTTGCAGAGCAACTGTATATATTGTATAACCTAAAATCAACTCTTATTTTCAATGTCCTGGATGCAGTGATTTATAATTAGAGCATGATTAATAAATTTTACTCTTGTTAACCAGTCAAATGTCTGGAAAAATAAAACTACTTTTAAAATCACTTTTTCTGCTTCTTTTCTGTTCCCCTGTACTGCTTATGCAATATTGTTCTTTTTAATGTATAAAAATTACAAATACAAACAAGTATCACTTGAGGAAAAATGTATTTCTTATGAACTTCAGTTGAACAGAAAAACTGTAGATGGCACACCTGAGATTAAATGAGAGGGGTAAAGCACCTGTAATATCTGGGTTAAGCAGAATCAAAGTCTGTATTAACAAATTATTTCTCAGACAACGAGTTAGAAGCACGTGTCAGTTTTATTTTACATTTCTGCAATACTGACATTAACATACAAAACATGATTTAGGAAAAAGAAATTGTGTTAAATATAAAATCCTGTAATGTCCTGGACACTGAAGATGGAATCTTCAAGTCATGTTTGGGGAATGCCAGAGTACCATGTGCAAGGCTGTGTGGCTCTTCTTTGCACAGCAATCTTTGCCAGGATGGTGTGTGGCTCCAGGCTGTCCGAGGAGCCCCAGTGCCTCTCACACAGACACTGCTGAAGGAAATCAGGACTTCTCCGACATTAAAACTGAATCAAAGGCTGTAGACAACACTTTGCAAATGGCTTGTGCTTGTTCCTAAAAAACCCAAACGCACACGTTAACATCTTCTGAAGAACTTTTGAACTTCTCAAAACTCATTTAAAGCAGAATGTGTCCTTCATTGTGCTTTTTGAGACCCAGATATCACCTGTCTGGCCTGCAATGACATGTAGGAGCTGTCTACATGAGCTCTTTTGAACCAAGGCAGAGTTGCTGGCTGTCAGCACAGCACAGCACCAGCATTCAGAACTTCACTTTTTGTGTTTCCCCAGCGCTGCCAGCCAAGAGTCAGTGCCATCAGAGCATCCTGACAGGGAATTCTCCTACTCGTAAGAAAGGCTCACCTCCCTTGCTTACAAATATGGTTGCATGCTCTATTACCAGAATTGTTATTCCATCTCTTCTGCTGCACATCTTAAAGAGATTTTTGTTTTGTTTGGAAATACAAGTGGAGATTGTCCATAGGTTCTGCTATAGCACCCTTTAGACTGGACAGAGCTTTCTCAGGTGAGTACAGTCACTGGCAATTTTAGGGAATGTAGGTGTTTTCCTCAAAGTTGATCCAATGTAGACAGCAGGGCTGTTTTCCCCTCCTCGGCCAGAACATTTATACCTTTTTTTTTTAAGGTAAGCAATCCTCCTTCTGCCAAAAAGCCTTAACAAGGGCCTTGGGTTTTAGAATCTCCCTTTATTGGAATCAGAATTCCAATACCTAATTTAAATACTGAAAGCATAAACTCTTACCAAACTATTGCACTGATATACCCAGAGGCTGCATTCTTCAGAGGCTGCATCTGTTGTCTTCAAAGCCAGTAAACTTTTCCCTGCTCCCAGACCATCGTCATAGCACACCATCCTTACAATCAAATAGAGGGCATGCCTATGTAACACATCCTGAAAGCACATGGCAAATAAAAGTTACTCTGGAACAGTGCAACAGATACTTCAGTTTTCCATGTTTTTATTATTACTTACAAAAGAATACTTTAGATTTATTTAAAGGAGAAAAGTTTTCCTTGGTAAATTTTTTTTTTTTACTTGAGAGTTCAGTTAAGATTTTAAAAAGTGGTGGTTAAGCACAAGTTTAGCTTTAATTTTGCTTCTACTTTAGAAGTGCATTTCTGTGTGGACTGTGAAGACTGGAGGTGAGAGAGTTGTTCAGCCAGGAGAAGAGAAAGCTCTTGGGGGAGACCCTGGGGCACCTTCCAGTACCTGAAGGGGGTCTGCAAGAGAGGAGGAAAAGGACTTTTTACAGGTGCATGTAGTGACAAAAATGGGATTTGAATGGCTTTAAACTGAAAGGTTATAGTAGGTTATTGAATTTAAGGTAAGAAATTCTTTACTATGGGAGTGGCATAGTAAAGAAGGCACTGGAACACATTTCTCAGAGAAGCTGTGGATGCCCAATCCCTGGAAGTGTTCAAGGTCAGGTTAGAGGGGGCTTTGAGCAACCTGGTCTGGCGGGAGGTGTCCCTGCCCATGGCAGGGGGGTGGAACTAGAGGATCTTTCAGATCCCTTCCAACCCAGCCCCTCCCATAATTCTCTGGTGACATTCCTGTCCATAATCTGAAAGTGCACATCACTTCCCACCAGCCCTCACTCTGCCTCTGTGACAGCTGGGACACTGTCCTTCTGGCACAGAGGTAGCTTAAAACAACTTCTTACTTTCCCAGTATTTTCCCCCTGTCTCAGTCCTGGGAAGGATACACAAAGAAACTGTTCCCAAAAGAGGGTACAGTCAAGGTCAGTTGCTTTGGGGGGTCAGTAGCCATGTGGCTGTAGCCAGGTTGTTTGTGACCTAAACCACAGGATGTGTCCTGATTCTTCCACAGATCTCATTGGGAGAAATCCATCAGAGCTGCAGGATTTCCACCATAGTCCCAACACTTCTGATTTTGGCCATTCCAGAAAGGGACTGGTAGAAGACACTTAGTACAAGGTCTCTGGAACTGTACCCTACACAAAGCCTTTCTTCTCCAGCCATCCTGCCCTCTGATCATACTCATCTGGTCTATTCCAGTCACACTATCTCCAGGGTCTCAGGAATTCTAGACAGCTCTGTTTCTGTGTTCAAGGCATCAAACAGCTGTCTCTGTCAGCTGAAGGGT